AGTAGAAAGGTAACTTTTTTTTATATAATTTTATAATTCGAAAAGTATATTCAACCCGAAATTGGGAAGAACATATCAAAGCGACTTGAGGCTTGCGTGGCTGTCATCAGCAAGTGTATGTGCTCGAATATGTTAAAATCAAACGAGGGTAAAACTGAACTGATAGTATTTGCTCCAAAAAACCGAGCGAACGACCTTTCAGACTTGCATCTCAATTTTGGTGAAAACATTGTCAGTGATGCTGAGTGCGTTAAAAACCTAGGCATTTATTTTGAGAAAACTTTGGCAATGGACAAACAAATTAGTGCTGTTTCAAAATCATGTTTTAATCAGATCAGAAACATTCGTCCATAAAATGTTAGTATGCTCTCTAGTTACCTCTCGTTTGGATTATGGGAACGTATTGCTGTATGGACTCCCAGCTACTAATATTCAAAGATTACAGTGAGTCCAAAACACAGCAGTCATTACAAGGAGGAAGAAGTACAACCACATCACACCAATCCTCAAGTCTCTTCATTGGCTGCCCGTAACGTATCAATGCCAATATATACTTCATGTGTATGTGTTCAAGGCTTTGCACGAGGAGGCACCGGTCAAACACATGTAACTACAAGAACTCGTTAACATATACAAACCGATGCGAGCACTCAGATCTAAAAATGCAATGATTTTAACAACGCCAATTGTAAGAACTAAAACATATGGGGAAAGAAGATTCGACAAAGCAGCAGCCGTACTGTGGAATGATTTGCCAAGTGAACTACGAAACATCCATTCTGTGAACGTTTTAAGAAAAACTTGAAAACTCATTTATTCAGACATGCTTTTGCAGAGTTTTTAAAATATTTCTATCTCAATGTAGTTTTTGAATTTTTAACTAAATATTTTTTAATTAGTAATTTCTATTTGTACGGTTTTATTGTGGCTTCATTTTACCATGCCCATTTTTTTATGTTTTATTGTTTATCAGAAATTTAATAGTATAGTTTTATATGGAATATATTTTAAATCAGATTTTTAAGATTTTATAACATCATTTTTTTTTTTATATACTAAATTTTTATCATGGGCTTTCATATTTTATTGTAAATACTTATATATGTGAATTGATATATGTTGTAAAGCACTTAGGGTAATTTTCATATTATATAATGCCCTGTTATAAACACTGTATAATAATAATAATAATAATAATTAAACCCCATTGAAATTGCTTAAGAAATAAGCAATTTATACAAAGTATTACAAAAGAATTATTTTAGGCCCCTTTTAACTAAACCATTAAGGTCATAACCCCTAAAATCAATCCCAAACTTTGTTTTATGATATAACACCTTGAGGCACAATTAAATAGCAATAAATAGACTTATACTCAAGTTATTGACCAGAAACCAGAAAATCCTAGTTTTTTGGCCCCTTTTCGGCCCTAATTATTAAACAGTTTGGACCATGACCCCCAAAAATCAATCAAACTTTCCTCGTGAAGTATGGAACCTTGTGGTAAAATTTCATAGAGATCCGTACTCTTATACACAAATCATTGTCCTGAAACATGAAAAATGCTTGTTTTTGACCCCTAATTACAGAACAGCTACAACTATAACCCCCAGAATAAATCCCAACCTTCCTATTGTGGTATGGAACCTTGTGTTAAAATTTAATAGAGATCCATACACTTATACCCTTTTTGGTCCCTAATTCCTAAGCAGATATGACAATAACCCCCAAAACTAATCCCAACTTTTCTATTGTGCTGTGGAACTTTGTGCTAAAATTTAACAGAGATATATACACTTATACTCAAGTTAAAACCAGACAAATAATTGTTTTGTTAGGCCCATTTTGGCCTCTAATACCTAAACCGCTATGACAACAAGCATTCTGTGAGTATTGCCTGGCAATATATAGTCCCCTACCGGTTAAAAATTCATTGTACTGGAACAAAATGCCAACTTGATCTATAACTTGTCATGGTGTAAACTATATAACAAATATCAGGTCAATCAATATCTTCAAGCATGACGGAAAAAAATATGGAACATTGATTATCTGAGTGACCATAACTCTGCACAAAATCATCAGACCGGAACAAATGATAAAACTATATACCAATCATCAAATCAATATCTTAAAGCATAACAAAAAAAAGTGCGGAAAACTGATTATTTGAGTGAATTTTCTAAGTTGAAGGACCATAACTCTGCACAAAATCGTCAGACAGGAACAAAATTCGAACTTGATCTGTAACTTGTCATGATTAAACAATACAACAAATATCAAATCAATATCTTCAAGCACGAAGAAAAAAAGTGTGGAAAACTGATTTGCCGGACTGACGGATGGACAGACATGGACGGAGTGCAAACCTAAATTCTCCTTCGACTTCGTCGGTAGGGGACTAATAACCCCCAAAATTAATCCCACCTACTTCTTTGAAAAATCCAAATTAAGCCGCATCATGATAGAGTATAGTGTGGACCAGTAAATGATCAAATATTTATCTCATCTGCCTACAAACAGTTGAAATGATACAAAAGATGACTCTAGGATGATAAATACCTTTAATGGACTTCTTTGTCTTCATTATAAGGTCCCTTTTGGTCCATTTATACCTCTCATTTCCTCAAAATTTCAACTTTTTAGGCCAATAAATCAAAATTTTGGGATAACTTTCACTCATTTATGAAAGAAATGTGATAATAAATGAGTAATTGAAGTATTCAAGTTGAAAGAAATATCCATATAAAAGTTTGCTGACTCCATGGAGGTTTCAATAAGTCCTTACGTCAAACTTGAATTTATGCCGCGCTCCAGAGAGGGACATAAAAAGCTTCCCTTTTAGTGAATTATTTGTTGTTACTGCTTCAAAAATAATTTCATTTACTTATAGCTGTATATTTATTAAAGTATTACTTAGGAAAAAGTTTTCTATAATAGCAAAATATAAGAAATAAGGAGAAAAAGTCAGAAAAAGCTCCCCAAATATGAGTATGGCTTGCTCTGTCTACTAATATTCATGGTAGAGTCCTATTTCAAGGCAATTTTTTCATAAAATGTGTTTTTGAGACTCAATCCACTCATTTTTGTAATATTTCACTTCAACAGCATGAAATTTTTACAAATGAGAGTACATACAAGGTCAAAGGTGCATGTGCAGCTTCCCATAATAGGTGTAATACCACCATTGTTTTTCCCCTATTAGTCTTTGTTAAATTTGTACTTTTCAAAAAATTGTGCAGAATTTTTCTTTGTGTCAAATGAAGAAATACTCGGTATGAGTAAAGTTTTATCCTGTCCAGTACTACAGACAAAATTTCACATGACATTTCATTGCATATAAGAAAATAACCATCACTGGAAGTTAAGTAACCAAATTTGCACACCTTTTTTTCCTGTATACAAGCTTTAGTAACCATGTAACCTCAAGTTTCCAAAATATTCTATAGAAACATCAAATAAAAAAAGAATGATGCTTTGAAACACCCAAGATATATGTTTATGACTCAGAATTTTTTTACTGCAATGAAATGTAGGATTAATTTCCTACAACTGTCAAATTCAAATGAATATTTTTTTTCGACCCTTTTTCGTATGCAACCGGATGTGACGTTCTATGATTTGGTGGTATTACACCTTGAAGAACGTTAATGTTAAATCCATTTTTTCAAATTAGTTTTAATCATTGTTTAACAAATACTATAAATCCTTAATTAGATGGAGCTTACAGAAACACATCTTATCACTTCACTAGACTTAGGGTATATCAACTAGTAACACCTGCCTAAAGTTATTTCTGTTGGATCAACACAACTAGTAACACCTGCCTAAAGTTATTTCTGTTGGATCAACACAACTAGTAACACCTACCTAAAGTTATTTCTGTTGGATCAACACAACTAGTAACACCTGCGTAAAGTTATTTCTGTTGGATCAACACAACTAGTAACACCTGCATAAAGTTATTTCTGTTGGATCAACACAACTAGTAACACCTACCTAAAGTTATTTCTGTTGGATCAACACAACTAGTAACACCTGCATAAAGTTATTTCTGTTGAATCAACACAACTAGTAACACCTACCTAAAGTTATTTCTGAATATTACTACATAGATATTGAAATTTTACAATTGGGAAGCTGAAAGCATCTCTTTTGTTGTAAAGTTTTGTTTTCAACCGACCCTCTTTGTCAATTTCTAGATGAAGGTCAAGATATGTGGCAGACTTAACTGTATCTGTTGTATCCTTTATTTCAAGTTGGATGGGATAGATGCGTTCAATAAAGTCACCAAACCTTGAATTATTTAGTGAAAGGACATCATCTATATAGTGGAATGTGAAGTTAAAGGATAATGTTAGCTTCTTTCTATTCTATTCCTAAGAAGCTCCTGTATCAAGTCAGCCTCATATGAATAAATATGTAACTTGGTTGCATGTGATATTTTCTATCAAAAAATCCTCAAAAGAACAGAGCAATTCTATACTTCTTAACTTCTTGGTGCAATACAATTCTTTTGTAGTTTAGTCATTAAGTTTTACATATTTTATTTTGTATATTAAAGCATTACAAATACTGCACACCTGCAGTTGCATGTTTTTTTTTTTATAATTATAATCAATTTAGTCTGACATTATAAACTATTATTCGGTAAAATTATGTATTTAATAGCAAAGAATAGGGACAAAAATTACAGGCAAGTACTCCTTCATATCAATATCCTTTGGAAAATTTTTTTCAAAGCTGAATAAAATCACTTCTAACACTCCATTTTTATAAACTTTAGAATAATCCTCCATTTGAAGCATGGGTTTTTATTGTATTAGGAAAGAGCTTTTTTTTAAACTTTGCTTTTATATTTCTTATATCTACCAATTGATCACTTTATTCTGATATTACAAATAACTGATTGGTAAAAATGTATCTAACAGTAAAGAACAGAGGCACAATTACAGATAAGTTATAATAGAAGATTATATGTACAAAGAACTATAACATACCAGGAATGAGTTAAGGCATCTATGTGACTTTGGTAATTGCTTTGTGTTCTTTAAAAGGCAGGTAATTAAACTTGAGCACAAAACATATGGTAGATGGAATCCATGAACACTGTTATCACTAGCCCACTGGTCAAATACTGTACTTCTAGCAGTTTTAGGTCTAAAGAAGAAACAGGTTTTCCACAAATAAGGGCCATAAAAGCTCTTACATAAGTTAAAACAAATTAAACATACAACACAATTGAAATTGCAAACCTTTCTTAAATTGTCTGTTTATAAATTTATAAATTATTAAGAAACTAAGATTCAACTCCTTCAGGCAAAGTTGACCTTAGATTATTGGTTATTATTTTTAATTCCTTTTTGGTCATATAGCTCTTCAACTGTTTCGGTTCTTATACATCCTTGGTTTTCAAATATTCAGCTTTGAGTGTTCCTGATGAATGTCAATCCAGAAAAGCTCTTTGGATGCATGATATTTGTAAAGTGTTGTTTTCATTTATTATATACGAACATGTTCAAACTGATAAAGTCTACCTGATTTTCTTCCCAAATCATTTTTGGCTTTTAAGCCAAGAAAATAATTTCATAGGAATAAGTGTACGGTTTTAAATGTAATATGATGAAAAGGATATGTGAGGTATAAGTCATTGAGAAAACAACTTAATGACACAACATACAACCTTTTTTCATCTTAATTAGAATGCACAGGATGCTAATTATGACAACAGAAATTTAAACCATTAACAATGAACTTCTAAACATAAATGTTTCATTGAAAACTTTAAACTCTGGTTACAAAAAACTCTTTAATGTTCATAATTGAGGTTCTATATGAATGAATAACTGATTACCAGGCTTACTAATACAAAATTGTCTGATTACATCAAATTTGTCATTAACAGTTACTTGATTACAAAGCATTTATACAAGCAATTACTGATTCAAAAGATATGTTCAAAATAATGTAAGATTAAAATTGCATCTTTCAGATTATCACAGAAAAAAAATGTGATTGTGTAATTGCAATACTTACATAGAGTCTAATAACTGTATAGAAAAGTTACCTTGATGTATCAGATATATCACATTTATACAAGATTTTCATCACAGACAATGGCTTTAGTTTGACTTCTTTCTTTGCACTACTGGCCTCTCCTTCAAATATCAACATATTTGGATCTATCAGCCATATCTACAAAACAATCATATCATTTGTAAGAATGAATTTTGTCAATTTCAAAATCTGCTTTTTAGGTTGATATGATCTTTCATATAAAAAGCACCTCCTTGCAGTACTGTATAATCTGAATTTGTTGGTTTTTAAAAGTAAAAAATTCACTATATTATTTATCTACATCTAATTTTTTGGTAGCCTGCGTTGAAAGTCGCGGGAATCGAGACATAGGGATTGCTTTTCCCAGGGACCACAGGTCCCGCTTCAACAATTGTTAAGTTTTCTGCTTAAGTTAGTTTGATAGGAACTACTTGTGAAAGATCATTGATATTTTGTAGGAAGTTCCATTACTATCAGTACATATCAGTTTGACGACTATTTTGAGGCCCTGCCCCCTAAGTGACTTTGAATAAATTAGCAATTTTCAATGTTAAGTTTTCAGCTTAAGTTAGTTAGATAGGATCTACTTGTGATAGATCAATGATATTTTGTATGAAGTTGCATTACGTTTTCGGTCCCAATGGCCCGAGAACACAGTTATTTCGTAGTGCATTTCTTTTAGACAATAAATTCAAATTAAAAAAATCGCACCTGCTCTATCTCAAAAAGATTTTTACAGTGTAGTGTACTACTATTGATACAAATAATATCAAAATTATAGAAACTTCTACCAGCTCTAACTCAAAATATTGACAATTCTGTGTTAAGGGGGCTAAAATTCAGTTTGACAGCTTCAGACATTCTAATTTTTGACCTTTTTTAACTGGACCAAATCACTACTTAACATAAAGATTCAGCACCCAAATTTTTTTAACATGTAATTTCATCCCCTTACTTAATATTTCATGCATAAAATATCAAGAAATAAATTGGGAAAGTGTATCAAAAAAAAATGCAAGTTATACACTGTTCACACATTCTTAGACAATGAAAACCAAAGGACGATAACTGTGTCCTTGGACCTAATAGGATAGAAAGACTTGACCAATTTTAATAAAACTTTGCATGACCTAAGCTTAGGAAATTATAAGATAGTTGCCTAAGTTTCATGGCCATAGGATATATATTATAGAAACTAGGGTCATTTTAATATTGAAATTTGGATGTTTATTTTTGACGTTTAAATCAAATATTTTCAACTGTCAAGATTTTGGCCTTAAAAATTTAAATATTGCAAAAATTTGCTTTTTAAATACTCTTGAATATAATATAATAAGTATTAAAAGCAACGGGACACTCATTTGATTTATCAGATTTATCACAGTTATTCAAAAGTCAAATTTATATGAGCCTGTGCCTGAAAATAGAGATTTTCGAATTAAGGGAAGCCTTACATAAACATGCATTTTTTTCAACCAATTTGAAGTTTTTGAAGTTTTTTAACCATACATTATTCTTCCATATATATCAAATGTACTTTAAATGTAAAGAAAAGTTACAAAAAGCATACAACATGAGTATAAAATGGTCTTAGGCCATGTAAGACTGAGAATTATTTAGAGTCGATTTAGGCCGTAGCCCATATTTACATATAAAAATGCACACAGAGGCTATAAGAAATGAAAATTTGTTACTTTTTGCTCATTTCTATGCTAAGATGTTATGATACAAGAAGTCTAATTGCAAAAGGACTCTTGAATTCAACTTTTTTTGCAGACATTATGGTCTGATGACCAGTTTTTCACTTTTCAATGAAAAACTTGCATGTAATTTTAGTCTCAATTGGCATTTATTTGGACCACCTACTATCCTAAAGAAGAAAATCATGGTAGCATATGAAATGAATAGGGTGTACTGATCATTGTAAAGTGTTTTTTTTAACAGATTTAGTGAAATATTTGTGATGGACTACAGATTTTATGTACAAAGCTCTTCACAATTCACATACATCAAACAGGCCATTTAACCAGGGACATAAATACAAATATTCTGCACATTTTTCTGTGATAATCTACTTTTCTCTAGATTCAGAGTTCACAAATGGTTAATTAAATTTAATTTAAGCATAGAAACACAAATATCAGGAACATAAAAAGCTGTCAGATAGAAAGTCAGCATGGCTCTTAGGCATAAAATGGAAACTGCTTTAAAATGCTTATTTTAGCCGTATAATGCCAAAATGGGACATTTTAACAGAATTTCTTTCAAACAAAGATGTAAATCCTTTACTTTTATTGAGTTTGACAAATTGAAACCAGCAAACTATTCAGGAAAGTTGCCAAAGTACAGAATGTACATTTACTGAATTCATCTCTTAGGCCCGAGAACACAGTTATTTCGTAGTGCATTTCTTTTAGACAATAAATTCAAATTAAAAAAATCGCACCTGCTCTATCTCAAAAAGATTTTTACAGTGTAGTGTACTACTATTGATACAAATAATATCTAAATTATAGAAACTTCTACCAGCTCTAACTCAAAATATTGACAATTCTGTGTTAAGGGGGCTAAAATTCAGTTTGACAGCTTCAGACATTCTAATTTTTGACCTTTTTTAACTGGACCAAATCACTACTTAACATAAAGATTCAGCACCCAAATTTTTTTAACATGTAAATTCATCCCATTTCTTAATATTTCATGCATAAAATATCAAGAAATAAATTGGGAAAGTGTATAAAAAAAAAATGCAAGTTATACACTGTTCACACTAGGGACTATATTCGTAGACAACGAAAACCAAAGGACGATAACTGTGTCCTTGGACCTAATACATCCTTGGCTTTCAAATATTCGCCTTTGAGCGTTCCTGATGAAGGTAAATCCAGAAAAGCGCTTCGTTGTTTTCATTTTTTACAGCACTAAGTCAATACCTCTGCTGGTGGACTATCAGTCCCTGAGGGTATCATCAGCTCAGTAGTCAGTACTTCGGTACTGACATGATTTATAACAAACTTTCTAAAATTGCCCATTTATAAATTTTGAAATTATAAAATAAACAGCTGCGCCATGAGTGCATGATAAGCCAGTCGTCTTGTGTGTGAATTTTTATGCAATAAGCATAAATAGTTTCTGACATACCGCGTGACATGCGAAAACCCCCTTTTTTTTTTACAAAAAACTCAATATCTCTAAAATAAAATTTTGAATCAAAACCAAAAAGTATACAGATCTTTAGATTAATATAACTAAGAAGTGTGTAAAATTTTAAGCAATAATCATAAACTGTTTTTGAGATACGGCGCGACATGTGAAAACCCCCCTTTAAAAAAAAATAAAATTAATATCTCAAAAATAAAATTTTGAATCAAAACCAAAAAGTATACAGAAATTTAGATTAATATAACTAAGAAGTGTGTAAAATTTTAAGCAATAATCATAAATCGTTTAGAGATACGGCGCGACATGTGAAAAACCCCTCCCCCTTTTTTTACAAAATACTCAATAACTCAAAAATAAAATTTTGAATCATCACCAAAAAGGATACAGATCGTAAGTTTAATATAACTAAGAAGTGTGTAAAGTTTTAAGCAATAATCATAAACTGTTTTTGAGATACGGCGGGACATGTGAAAAACCCCTCCCCCTTTTTTAACAAAATACTCAATATCTCTAAAATAAAATTTTGAATCATCACCAAAAAGTATACAGATCTTAAGATTAATATAACTAAGAAGTGTGTAAAGTTTTAAGCAATAATCATAAACTGTTTTTGAGATACGGCGCGACATGTGAAAAAAAAAACACACACCTGTTTTAGTTACTAAGTCCCGTAACTCAAAAAGTTTTAATCTTATTTTCACCAAAAAGTATACAGATCGTTTGACCATCATAAGAAACAACTTTCTTAAGTTTCATGAAATTTGGATAAGTCATTCTCAAGTTTCGGTGCAACATGTTTACGCCGGACAGACAGACGGACAGACAGACAGACGAACACACAGACGGACAGACAGACAGACGAACAGACGCCGGACATTTGTATAACATAATACGTCCCGTCAAAAATTTGACGGGCGTATAAAAACTAAGGTTTCAACTCCCTCAGGCAAATTTGGCCTTAGATGGATTTGGCTATTTTTTAGGTCCTTTTTGGTTTTATAGCTCTTCAACATTTTTGGTTCTAATACACCCTTGGCTTTCAAATATTCGGCTTTGAGCAATCCTGATGAAGGTAAATCCAGAAAAGCGCTTCAGATGCATGAAATTTATAATGTGTTGTTTTCATTTTTGTCGAGCCTGGGACTTTTGTCGCAAAAGCGAGACATAGCGATCCTACATTCCGTCGGCGTCGTCCACAAATATTCACTCTGTGGTTAAAGTTTTTGAAATTTTAATAACTTTCTTAACTATCCTGCATTTCAATCAAACTTGGACAGAAGCTTGTTTATGACCATAAGATAGTATCCAGAAGTAAATTTTGTAAAAAAAAAAATCCTGTTTATCCGTATTTTACTCATATATGGACTTAGTTTTTCTGCCAGTTAACATAACATTCACTCTGTGGTTAAAGCTTTCAAAATTTTAATAACTTTCTTAAACTATCCTAGATTTGTACCAAACTTGAACAGAAGCTTGTTTATAATCATAAGATAGTATCCAGAAGAAAATTTTGTAAAAAAAAAAATCCTGTTTATCCGTATTTTACTCATATATGGACTTAGTTTTTTTGCCAGTTAACATTACATTCACTCTGTGGTTAAAGTTTTCAAAATTTTAATAACTTTCTTAAACTATCCTGGATTTGTACCAAACTTGGACAGAAGCTTGTTTATGATCAAAAGTTAGTATCTAGAAGGAAATTTTGTAAAAATTTATTTCCTGTTTTTCTGTATATTACTTATAAATGGACTTACTTTTATTCCAGTTAACATTACGTACAGTCTGCAGTTAAAGTTTTTAAAACATTTATTAGATTCATAAACCTTCTTGGATTTTTACCAAACTTGAACAGAACTTCTTACAATCAAAAGATAGTATCTAGAGGAAAATTTGTAATACTTTTTTCCCCATTTTTGTCTAGCCTGCGACTAACAGCAAAAGTAGGCGAGACACTGGGTTCCGCGGAACCCTTACAAATTTTTTACTATCAGTACATTTCAGTTTGACGACTATTTTGAGGCCCTGCCCCTAGGACATGGTCAGGTGACTTTAAATTAATTAGCAATTTTCAATGTTAAGTTTATCTGCTTAAGTTATATTGATAGGAACTACTTACAATAAACAAAGATATTTTCTATAAAGTTACATTACTCAGATTGTCTTTTTCTGAATTTCATGCCGATAGGCGAGACAAATCTCTGTGTCAACAGTTTATTGTAATGTGGCCTGGCCATCTACAGCCTCTGCCCTAAATTTAAATTTCCTGCCAAATACCTCTTCTTTCAAAACCACATTGGTGTGAGTTTTTGTTCTAGCATCCATAATGACTTCCGTCTTTTCCACTTTATATGATCACTTGGATTTGTTTGATAGGCCTTAATATTGTTATTTTCTTAGTCTACAAACTGATTTTAATTTTAACAAATTGATTCTATCCCTAATACTTTTTGAGAAAAATGCAAAGGAAAGAAATCGCTTTAAGGGGATAAAACTCGCATAGGGGATGATGAAATCCTATGCAGCCTCATATGGTAGTACATCATGATGAGATCAACCTATTGTCAAAATAAGGTCATGATATCTTAAAAAACAACGAAGGGGGGCCATGTTAAAAAAATCCAATAAAAGGGGGATAACTTCTACAGGGGATGATGAAATCCTTAACAGGGTCATCTGGTAATACTTCATGATGATGTCTATCGATGGTCCATATTTGGTCTTGATAACTTTAACAGAAACGGGGGGAGGGCATTCCCAAAAAAATGTTGGAAGAAAAGAAGAACAAACTAGTATCTCAATTGTTTGTAAAACAATTGAAAGGTCTTTCCTGTTAAAGTGATGTTTTCGTAATGTACTTTGTACGACCTTTCATTTGATATACGACAAGCATACCTTCTGAAACTTTTCGCTTTTTACACTTAATGACCCCATCCGCCTTAATTTTCGAGATCGGAAGTATGATATATGTAATCTAGACTTTATGATCTTTCATTTGATATGCGACAACGCCATGTTCTAGAAAGTTTGATTTTTGCACTTAATAACCCCATCCAATAATTTTTTGAGGACAGGAATCTGATATTTGAAATGTACATGTTACGACCTTTCATTTGAAATACAACAACCTTGCCTTAAAAGAAAATTTTATTTTTTGCACTCAATGACCCCACCCAACCCATTTTTTGGGGACGTCAATTTGATATTTGAAATGTACGCTTTATGGACTTTCATTTGATATGCGACAACCTAACCATCTGAGAAGTTTGAATTTTTTGCACTAAATGACCCCACCCTTCCCCCTAGGATGAAAAAGGGGTTTAACATTTTCATTTTTGAGTAGAGCTCGTTAAGACCTTCAATTTGATATATCAAATGACCCCATTTGGCAAAGTGCCAAAAATGATGCAATATCAATTATATAAATAGAACTTATGAAACTTACAAAGTAAATGCAAAACATGAAAACTTCAAATTGATTTTTTGGGTTTTTTTTTCATTGAATGTTTTTGGTATTTTGTCAAACATATAACCATGTTAAACTCTTTAATTTCTGAAAATATCAGGTGGTTACCTGTTGTTGATTCAGAAATACATGCCGCCGCTCGCAAAATTTCAAAGTGCATTATCTCTAAAACGACAACAGTTATCTCAAATCTGTTAAAAGTAAAATGATCTACAGTAAAAGGACAACATTACAGAAAAAAATTTGGGACAATTCCGAAGTTCATCAAGGTCATAATGAATCATCAAATATATAATGCAATACCAAACTTGAGAACCGGAAGTCGTAGAGACATGGGACTACCACCATTCAACTCAGGACCACTTGACCTTTCAAATATCACAAGATCAAGGTCATATTACACTTTGAAGGTCAAGGTAAAATTTCATCATGACCTGACATTGACCTCAAATTGAAGGTCTGAAAATACTGATCATTTTTCCAATTTATAGTAGGTAGATATCTGTTACCTTTAAAAAGATATAAACACAATATTATACTTTTAAGAATTATCTCGTTGCAACTTTTGAACAGAAGGTCGGACAGTTTTGAGCTTAATGTATAAAATGTAGAGCTCGTCGAGAGGAACATTTTATACGCAGTATGTATGCAGCAAACTCTTATCGTTTTCTTAATATGTAAGCTTGAAATTGCAGCGTAAATTTTTTTTGCACTCAGTGACCTTTGACCTTGGGTGCAAATTAAAGGTCACACGAATTAAAGATTATTGGTGAAGGTCCCAAGTCTCTACGACTTCCGGTTCTCGAAATAGAATTTTTCAAAAATTGTGTATAATTTTGAAAGGGAAATAACTCCTTATAAGGGTTGATAACAAACTAATTGTTCATGTTTATTAACATTGCCATTTGTTCTTGTTGATGCTGCCACTTTCAATTTAATTCTATGTCTAATACTTTTTAAGAAAAATGCAAATAAAAGAAATTGCTTCAAGGGGATATAACTCTCAAAGGGGATGATGAAATATTACGCCGCCTCATATGGTAATATATCATGATGAGATCTACCTATTGTACAAATAAGGACATGATATCTTTAAAAACAACGAGGGGGGGCCATGTTGAAAAAAACCAATAAAAGGGAGATAACTTCTAAAGGGGATGATGAAATCCTTAACAGGGTCATCTGGTAAAACTTCATGATGAGGTCTACCGATGGTTCATATTTGGTCTTGATAACTCCAATAGAAACAAGGGGAGGGCATGTCAAAAAAATGTTGGAAGAAAAAAGAAGAAAAAAAAAAAAAAAAAAAGAAAAAAAAAAAAAAACATTAGAAAAACAATAAGGTCTTTCCTAACGGAGTGGAAAGACCTTAAAAAAAGAAAAAGAAAAAAAAACATAAGAAAAACAATAAGGTCTTTCCTAACGGAGTGGAAAGACCTTAAAAAAAACAACTAGTATCTCAATTGTTTGTAAAACAATTGAAAGGTCTTTCCTGTAAAAGTGATGTTTTCGTAATGTACTTTGTACCACCTTTTGATTGATATACGACAAGCATACCTTCTGAAACTTTTCGCTTTTTACACTAGATGACCCCATCCGCCTAAATTTTCGAGACCGGAAGTATGATATATGTAATGTAGACTTGATGATCTTTCATTTGATATGCAACAACGCCATGTTCTAGAAAGTTTTATTTTTGCACTTAATAACCCCATCCAACTCATTTTTGGAGGACAGGAATTTGATATTTGAAATGTACACATTATGACCTTTCATTTGATATACAACAACCTTACCTTAGAAGACAATTTATGTTTTGCACTCAATGACCCCTCCCAACCCCTTTTTGTGGGACGTCAATTTGATATTTGAAATGTACGCTTTATGGACTTTCATTTGATATGCGACAACCTAACCATCCGAGAAGTTTGAAATTTTTGCACTAAATGACCCCACCCTTCACACTGGGATGAAAAAGGGGTTTGAAATTATCATTTTTGAGTAGACCTCATTTAGACGTTCAATTTGATATACATAATGACTGCATTTGGCAAAGAGCCAAAAATGATGCAATATCAATTATATAAATAGAACTTATGAAACTTACAAAGTCAATGTAAAAGATGAAAATTTCAAATTGATTTTTTTTTTTGAGTTTTTCATTGAAAGTTTCTGGTAATTAGTCAAACATATAACCATGTTAAACTCTTCAATTTCTGAAAATTTTAGATGGAAAGCTGTCGTTGATTCAGAAATACATGCCTCCGCTCGCAAAATTTCAAACTGCATTATCTCTAAAATGACAATAGATATCTCAAATCTGTTAAATGATAAATGATCTGCAGTTGAAGGGCAACATTTTATAAAAAAATTGGGACAATTCCGAAGTTCATCAAGGTCACAATGAATCATCAAATATATGATGCAATACCAAACTTGAGAACCGGAAGTCAAAGAGACATGGGACTACCACCATTCAACTCAAAACAACTTGACCTTTCAAATATCACAAGGTCAAGGTCATAGTACACTTTGAAGGTCAAGGTAAAAATTCAACATGACCTGACATTGACCTCAAATTGAAGGTCTTACAACACTGATCATTTTTGCAATTTATAGTAGGTTGATATCTGTTACCTTTAAAAAGATATACACACAATACTATACTTTTAAGAATTATCTCGTCGTAACTTTTAAACAGACGGTCGGACAGTTTTAAGCTTAATGTATAAAATGTAGAGCTCGTCGAGAGGAACATATTATACACAGTATGTATGCAGCAAACTTTTATCGTTTTCTTAATATGTAAGCTTGAAATTGCAGCGTAAATTTTTTTGAACTCAGTGACCTTTGACCTTGGGTGCAAATTAAAGGTCACATGAAAAAAAGATTATTGGTGAAGGTCCCAAGTCTCTACGACTTCCGGTTCTCGAAATAGAATTTTTCAAAAATTGTGTATAATTTTTCAAGCGAAATAACGCCTTATAAGGGTTGATAACAAACTAATTGTTTATGTTTATTAACATTGCCATCTGTTCTTGTACATTCTGCCATTTTCAATTCGATTCTATCTCTCATACTTTTTAAGAAAAATGCAAATAAAAGAAATTGCTTCAAGGGGATATAACTCTCAAAGGGGATGATGAAATCTTACGCAGCCTCATATGGTAACACATCATGATGAGATCTATCTATTGTACAAATAAGGTCATGATATCTTTAAAAACAACGAAGGGGGGCCATGTTGAAAAAAACCAATAAAAGGGAGATAACTTCTAAAGGAGATGATGAAATCCTGATCAGGGTCATCTGGTAATACTTCATGATGAGGTCTATCGATGGTCCATATTTGGTCTTGATAACTCTAATAGAAACGAGGGGAGGGCATGTCAAAAAAATGTTGGAAGAAAAAAAAGAAAAAAAAAACTAGTATCTCAATTGTTTGAAAAACAATTGAAAGGTCTTTCCTGTAAAAGTGATGTTTTTGTAATGTACTCTTTAAGACCTTTCATTTGATATACGACAAGCATACCTTCTAAAAATTTTCACTTTTTACACTTAATGACCCCATCCGCCTACATTTTTGATATCGGAAGTATGATATATGTAATCTAGACTTGATTATCTTTCATTTGATATGCGACAACGCCATGTTCTAGAAAGTTTGATTTCTGCACTTAATAACCTCATCCAACTTATTTTTTGAGGACAGGAATCTGATATTTGAAATGTACACGTTACGACCTTTCATTTAAAATACAACAACCTTACCTTAAAAGAAAATTATATTTTTTGCACTCAATGACCCCACCCAACCCATTTTTTGGGGACGTCATTTTGATATTTGAAATGTACGCTTTATGGACTTTCATTTGATATGCGACAACCTAACCATCTGAGAAGTTTTAATTTTTTGCACTAAATGACCCCACCCTTCCCCCTGGGATGAAAAGGGGGTTTTACATTTTCATTTTTGAGTAGAGCTAGTTAAGACCTTCAATTTGATATATCAAATGACCCGATTTGGCAAAGTGCCAAAAATGATGCAATATTAATTATATAAATAGAACTTATGAAACTTACAAAGTCAATGCAAAACATGAAAATTTCAAATTGATTTTTTGGTTTTTTTTTTCATTGAATGTTTTTGGTATTTAGTCAAACATATAACCATGTTAAACTCTTCAATTTCTTATAATTTCAGGTGGTTACCTGTTGTTGATTCAGAAATACATGCCTCCGCTCGCAAAATTTCAAAGTGCATTATCTCTTAAACGACAACATGTATCTCAAATTTGTTAAAAGAAAAATGATCTACAGTAAAAGGACAACATTTTAGAAAAAAAATTGGACAATTCCAAAGTTCATCAAGGTCACAATGAATTATCAAATATATGATGCAATATCAAACTTGAGAACCGTAAGTCGTAGAGACATGGGACTACCACCATTCAACTCAAGACCACTTGACCTCTCAAATGTCCCAAGGTCATGGTCATAGTACACTCTGAAGGTCAAGGTTAAATTTCATCATGACCTGACATTGACCTCAAATTGAAGGCCTTGAATTACTGATCATCTTTGCAGTTTATAGTAGGTTGATATCTGTTACCTTTTAAAAGATATACATATGTTACTATAGTTTTAAGAATTATGTTAATGTAACTTTTGAACAGACAGTCGGACATTTTTGAGCTTAATGTATAAAATGTAGAGCTCGTCGAGAGGAACATTTTATACATAGTATGTATGCAGCAAACTCTTATGGTTTTCTTAATATGCAAGCTTGAAATTGCAGCGTAAATTTTTTTTGCACTCTGTGACCTTTGACCTTGGGTGCAAATTGAAGGTCACATAAACTTAAGATTATTGGTGTAGGTCCCAAGTCTCTACGACTTACGGTTCTCGAAATACAATTTTTCAAAAATTGTGTATATTTTTTTAAGAGAAATTACTCCTTATAAGGGTCAATAACAAAATTATTTTATATGTTCATTAACATTGCTATCAGTTCCTGTATATGTTGCCGTTTTCAAATCGATTCTATCTCTAATACTTTTTGAGAAAAATGCAAAGGAAAGAAATCGCTTCAAGGGGATATAACTCGCATAGGGGATGATGAAATCCTATGCAGCCTCATATGGTAGTACATCATGATGAGATCAACCTATTGCCAACATAAGGTCATGATATCTTCAAAAACAACGAAGGGGGGCCATGTTGAAAAAATCCAATAAAAGGGGGATAACTTCTACAGGGGATGATGAAATCCTTAACAGGGTCATGTGGTAATACTTCATGATGATGTCTATCGATGGTCCATATTTGGTCTTGATAACTTTAACAGAAACGGGGGGAGGGCATTCCCAAAAAAATGTTGGAAGAAAAAAAAGAAAAAAAAAAAAAAACATTAGAAAAACAATAAGGTCTTTCCTAACGGAGTGGAAAGACCTTAAAAAAAAAAAAAAAGAAAAAAAAAAACATTAGAAAAACTAGTATCTCAATTGTTTGTAAAACAATTGAAAGGTCTTTCCTGTAAAAGTGATGTTTTCGTAATGTACTTTTACGACCTTTCGATTGATATAGGACAAGCATACCTTCTCAAACTTTTCGCTTATTACACTTAATGACCCCATCCGCCTATATTTTCGAAATTGGAAGTATGATATATGTAATGTAGACTTGATGATCTTTCATTTGATATGCGACAGCAACATGTTCTTGAAAGTTTGATTTTTGCACTAAATAACCCCATCCAACTCATTTTTGGAGGCCATGAATTTGATATTTGAAATGTACACGGTCAGACCTTTCATTTGATATACAACAACCTTATCTTAAAAGAAAATTTATTTTTTGCACTCAATGACCCCACCCAACCCATTTTTTGGGGACGTCAATTTGATATTTTAAATGTACGCTTTATGGACTTTCATTTGATATGCGACAACCTAACCATCTGAGAAGTTTGTTTTTTTTGCACTAAATGACCCCACCCTTCCCATTGGGATGAAAAAGGGGTTTGAAATTTTCATTTTTGAGTACAGCTCATTTAGGCGTTCAATTTGATATACATAATGACTGCATTTGGCAAAGTTCCAAAAATGATGCAACATCAATTATATAAATATAACTTATGAAACTTACAAAGTCAATGTAAAAGATGAAAATTTCAAATTGACTTTTTTTTTAAAGTTTTTCATTGAAAGTTTTTGGTAATTTGTCAAACATATAGCCATGTTAAACTCTTCAATTTCTGAAAATTTCAGGTGGAAAGTTGTTGTTGATTCAGAAATACATGCCTCCGCTTGCACAATTTCAAACTGCATTATCTCTTATACGACAATAGATATCTCAAATCGGTTAAATAATAAATGATCTGCATTTGAAGGACAACATTGTAGAAAAAAAATTGGGACAATTCCGAAGTTAATCAAGGTCACAATGAATCATCAAATATATGATGCAATACCAAACAAGAGAACCGGAAGTTGTAGAACCATGGGACTACCATCATTCAACTCAGGACTACTTGACCTTTCAAATTTCACATGGTCAGGGTCATAGTACACTTTGAAGGTCAAGGTAAAATTTCATCATGACCTGACATTGACCTCAAATTGAAGGTCTTAAAATACTGATCATTTTTGCAGTTCATAGTAGGTTGATATCTGTTACCTTTTAAAAGATATACACACAAAACTATACTTTAAAGAATAATCTCGTCGTAACTTTTGAACAGACGGTCGGACATTTTTGAGCTTAATGTATAAAATGTAGAGCTCGTCGAGAGGAACATTTTATACACAGTATGTATGCAGCAAACTCTTATCGTTTTCTTAATATGTAAGCTTGAAATTGCAGCGTAAATTTTTTTTGCACTTGTTGACCTTTGACCTTAGATGCAAATTGAAGGTCACATGAACTAAAGATTATTGGTGTAGGTCCCAAGTCTCTACGACTTTTGGTTCTCGAAATACAATTTTTCAAAAATTATGTATATTTTTTCAAGAGGAATAACTCCTTATAAGGGTCAATAACAACATTATGTTATATGTTCATTAACATTGCCATCTGTTCCTGTAGATGTTGCTGTTTTCAAATCGATTCTATCCCTAATACTTTTTGAGAAAAATGCAAAGGAAAGAAATTGCTTCAAGGGAATATAACTCGCATAGGGGATGATGAAATCCTACGCAGCCTCATAGGGTAGTACATCATGATGAGATCTACCTATTGTCCACATAAGGTCATAATATCTTTAAAAACAACGAGGTGAGGCAATGTCGAAAAAATCCAATAAAAGGGAGATAACTTCTACAGGGGATGATGAAATCCTTAACAGGGTCATGTGGTAATACTTCAAGATGAGGTCTATCAATGGTCTATATTTGGTCTTGATAACTTTACCAGAAACGGGGGGGAGGGCATTCCCAAAAAAATGTTGGAAGAAAAAAAAGAAAAACTAGTATCTCAATTGTTTGTAAAACAATTGAAAGGTCTTTCCTGCAAAAGTGATGTTTTTGTAATGTACTCTTTAAGACCTTTCATTTGATATACGACAAGCATACCTTCTGAAAATTTTCACTTTTTACACTTAATGACCCCATCCGCCTACATTTTTGATATTGGAAGTATGATATATGTAATCTAGACTTGATTATCTTTCATTTGATATGCGACAACGCCATGTTCTAAAAAGTTTGATTTTTGCACTTAATAACCCCATCCATCTAATTTTTGGAGGACAGGAACTTGATATTTGAAATGTACACGTTATGACCTTTCGTTTGATATACAACAACCTTATCTTAAAAGAAAATTTATGTTTTGCACTCAATGACCCCACCCAACCCATTTTTTGGGGACGTCAATTTGATATTTGAAATGTACGCCTTATGGACTTTCATTTGATATGCGACAACCTAACCATCTGAGAAGTTTGAATTTTTTGCACTAAATGACCCCACCCTGCCCCCTGGGATGAAAATGGGTTTAACAATTTCATTTTTGAGTAGAGCTCGTTAAGGCCTTCAATTTGATATATCAAATGACCCCATTTGGCAAAGTGCCAAAAATGATGCAATATCAATTATATAAATAGAACTTATGAAACTTACAAAGTAAATGCAAAACATGAAAATTTCAAATTGATTTTTTGGGTTTTTTTTTTCAGTGAATGTTTTTGGTATTTAGTCAAACATACAACCATGTTGAATTCTTTAATTTCTGAAAATTTCAGGTGGTAATCTGTTGTTGATTCAGAAATACATGCCTCCGCTCGAAAAATTTCAAACTGCATTATCTCTTAAACAACAATAGATATCTCAAATCTGTTAAATGATAAATGATCTGCAGTTGAAAGGCAACATTGTATAAAAAAATTTGGGACAATTCCATAGTTCATCAAGGTCACAATGAATTATCAAATATATGATGCAATATCAAACTTCAGAACCGGAAGTCGTAGAGACATAAGACTACCACTATTCAACTCGGGACCACTTGACCTTTCAAATGTCATAATGTCAAGGTCATACCACACTCTGAAGGTCAAGGTTAAATTTCATCATGACCTGAAATTGACCTCAAATTGAAGGTTTTAAAATACTGATAATTTTTGCAATTTATAGTAGGTTGATATCTGTTACCTTTAAAAAGATATACACACAATTCTATACTTTTAAGAATTATCTCGTCGTAACTTGTGAACAGACGGTCGGACAGTTTTGAGCTTAATGAATAAAATGTAGAGCTCGTCGAGAGGAACATTTTATACACAGTATGTATGCAGCAAACTCTTATCGTTTTCTTAATATGTAAGCTTGAAATTGCCGCGTAATTTTTTTTTGCACTCAGTGACCTTTGACTTTGGGTGCAAGTTAAAGGTCACATGAATTAAAGATTATTGGTGAAGGTCCCAAGTCTCTACTACTTCCGGTTCTCGAAGTAGAATTCTCAAAAATTGTGTATAATTTTTCAAGAGAAATAACTCCTTATAAGGGTTAATAACAAAATAATTGTTTATGTTTATTAACATTGCCATCTGTTCTTGTACATGCTGCCATTTTCAAATTGATTCTATCTGTAATACTTTTTTAGAAAAATGCAAATAAAAGAAATTCCTTTAAGGGGATATAACTCTCAAAGGGGATGATGAAATCTTACGCAGCCTCATATGGTAATACATCATGGTAAGATCTACCTATTGTCCACATAAAGTCATGATATCTTAAAAAATAACGACGAGGGGCTATGTCGAAAAAAACCAATAAAAGGGAGATAACTTCTAAAGGGGATGATGAAATCCTTAACAGGGTCATCTGGTAATACTTCATGATGAGGTCTATCGATGGTTCATATTTGGTCTTGATAACTACAACAGAAACGGCGGGAGGGCATGTCAAAAAAAATGTTGGAAGAAAAAAAAGAAAAAACTAGTATCTCAATTGTTTGTAAAACAATTGAAAGGTTTTTCCTGCAAAAGTGATGTTTTTGTAATGTACTCTTTAAGACCTTTCATTTGATATACGACAAGCATACCTTCTGAAAATTTTCACTTTTTACACTTGATGACCCCATCCGCCTACATTTTTGATATCGGAAGTATGATATATGTAATCTAGACTTGATTATCTTTCATTTGATATGCGACAACGTTATGTTCTAGAAAGTTTTATTTTTGCACTTAATAACCCCATCCAACTAATTTTTTGAGGACAAGAATCTGATATTTGAAATGTACACGTTACGACCTTTCATTTGAAATACAACAACTTTACCTTAAAAGAAAATTTTATTTTTTGCACTCAATGACCCCACCCAACCCATTTTTGGGGACGTCAATTTGATATTTGAAATGTACGCTTCATGGAATTTCATTTGATATGCGACAACCTAACCATCCGAGAAGTTTGAATTTTTTGCACTAAATGACCCCACCCTTCCCCCCCGGGATGAAAAGGGGGTTTAACATTTTCATTTTTGAGTAGAGCTCGTTAAGACCTTCAATTTGATATATCAAATGACCCCATTTGGCAAAGTGCCAAAAATGATGCAATATCAATTATATAAATAGAACTTATGAAACTTACAAAGTAAATGCAAAACATGAAAATTTCAAAATTGATTTTTTGGGTTTTCTTTTCATTGAATGCTTTTGGTATTTAGTCAAACATATAACCATGTTGAATTCTTTAATTTCTGAAAATTTCAGGTGGTAAACTGTTGTTGATTCAGAAATACATGCCTCCGCTCGAAAATTTTCAAACTGCATTATCTCTTAAACGACAACAGATATCTCAAATCTGTTAAATGATAAATGATCTACCGTTAGAAGGCAACATTGTATAAAAAAATTTGGGACAATTCCATAGTTCATCAAGGTCACAATGAATTATCAAATATATGATGCAATATTAAACTTCAGAACCGGAAGTCGTAGAGACATAAGACTACCACTATTCAACTCAGGACCACTTGACCTTTCAAATGTCACAATGTCAATGTCATAGCACACTCTGAAGGTCAAGGTTAAATTTCATTATGACCTGACATTGACCTCAAATTGAAGGTTTTAAAATACTGATCATTTTTGCAATTTATAGTAGGTTACTTCTGTTCACTTTAAGAAGATATACACACAATACTATACTTTTAAGAATTATCTCGTCGTAACTTGTGAACAGACAGTCGGACAGTTTTGAGCTTAATAAATAAGATGTAGAGCTCGTCGAGAGGAACATTTTATACACAGTATGTATGCAGCAAACTCTTATCGTTTTCCTAATATGTAAGCTTGAAATTGCAGTGTAAATTTTGTTTGCACTCAGTGACCTTTGACCTTGGGTGGAAGTTAAAGGTCACATGAAATAAAGATTATTGGTGAAGGTCCCAAGTCTCTACGACTACCGGTTCTCGAAATACAATTTTTTAAAAATTGAGTAAAATTTTTCAAGGGAAATCACTCCGTATAAGGATTGATAACATACTAATTGTTTATGTTTATTAACATTGCCATTTGTTCTTGTAGATGCTGCAATTTTCAATTCGATTCTATCTCTTATACTTTTTAAGAAAAAATAAAATTAAAGAAATTGCTTCAAGGGGATGCAACTCTCAAAGGAGTTGATGAAATCCTACGCAGCCTCATATGGTAATACATCATGATGAGATCTACCTATAGTACAAATAAAATCATGATATCTTTAAAAACAACGAGGGGAGGCCATGTTGAAAAAACCCAATAAAAGGGAGATAACTTCCAAAGGAGATGATGAAATCCTAAACAGGGTCATCTGGTAATACTTCATGATGAGGTCTATCGGTGGTTCAAATTTGGTCTTGATAACTTTAATAGAAACGAGGGTAGGGCATGTCAAAAAAATGTTGGAAGAAAAAAAAGAAAAAAAAAAAGAAAAAGAAAAAACTAGTATCTCAATTGTTTGTAAAACAATTGAAAGGTCTTTCCTGTAAAAGTGATGTTTTCGTAATGTATTTTTTACGACCTTTCATTTGATATACGACAAGCATACCTTCTAAAACTTTTCGCTTTTTACACCTAATGACCCCATCCGCCTTAATTTTCGAGATCGGAAGTATGATATATGTAATGTAGACTTGATGATCTTTCATTTGATATGCGACAACGCCATCTTCTAGAAAATTTGATTTTTGCACTTAATAACCCCATCCAACTAGTTTTTCTAGAACAGGAATTTGATATTTGAAATGTACACGTTATGACCTTTCATTTGATATACAACAACCTTATCTTAAAAGAAAATTTATGTTTTGCACTCAATGACCCCACCCAACTCATTTTTTGGGGACGTCAATTTGATATTTGAAATGTACGCTTTATGGACTTTCATTTGATATGCGACAACATAACCATCTGAGAAGTTTGAATTGTTTGCACTTAATGACCCCACCTTTCCCACTGGGATGGAAAAGGGGTTTGAAATTTTCATTTTTGAGTAGAGCTCATTTAGACGTTCAATTTGATATACATAATGACCGCATTTGGCAAAGAGCCAAAAATGATGTAATATCAACTATATAAATAGGACTTATGAAACTTACAAGATGAAAATTTCAAATTGATTTTTTTTTTGAGTTTTTCATTGAAAGTTTTTGGTAATTAGTCAAACATATAACCATGTTAAACTCTTCAATTTCTGAAAATTTCAGGTGGAAAGCTGTTGTTGATTCAGAAATACATGCCTCCGCTCGCAAAACTTCAAACTGCATTATCTCTAAAACGACAATAGATATCTCAAATCTGTTAAATGATAAATGATCTGAAGTTAAAGAGCAATGTTGCATAAAAAATTTGGGACAATTTCAAAGTTCATCAAGGTCACAATGAATCATCAAATATATGATGCAATACCAAACTTAAGAACCGGAGTCGTAGAGACATAAGACTACCACCATTCAACTCAAGACAACTTGACCTTTCAAATATCACAAGGTCAAGGTCATAGTACACTTTGAAGGTCAAGGTAAAATTTCATCATGACCTGACATTGACCTCAAATTGAAGGTCTTACAATACTGATCATTTTTGCAATTTATAGTAGGTTGCTATATGTTACCACTTAAAAGATATTCACACAATACTATACTTTTAAGAATTATCTAGATGTAACTTTTGAACAGACGGTCGGACATGTTTGAGCTTAATGTATAAAATGTAGAGCTTGTCGAGAAGAACATTTTATACACAGTATGTATGCAGCAAACTCTTATTGTTTTCTTAATATGCAAGCTTGAAATTGCAGCGTAAATTTTTTTGCACTCGGTGACCTTTGACCTTGGTTGCAAATTAAAGGTCACATGAATTAAAGATTAGTGGTGAAGGTCCCAAGTCTCTACGACTTCCGGTTCTTGAAATAGAATTTGTTTTAAATTGTGTAAATTTTTTAAAGGGAAATAACTCCTTATAAGGGTTGATATCAAAATAATTGTTTATGTTTATTAACATTGCCATCTGTTCTTGTACATGCTGCAATTTTCAAATCAATTCTATCCCTTATACTTTTTAAGAAAAATGCAAATAAAAGAAATTGCTTCAAGGGGATATAACTCTCAAAGGGGATGATGAAATCTTACGCAGCCTCATATGGTAACACATCATGATGAGATCTATCTATTGTACAAATAAGGTCATGATATCTTTAAAAACAACGAAGGGGGGCCATGTTGAAAAAAACCAATAAAAGGGAGATAACTTCTAAAGGAGATGATGAAATCCTGATCAGGGTCATCTGGTAATACTTCATGATGAGGTCTATCGATGGTCCATATTTGGTCTTGATAACTCTAATAGAAACGAGGGGAGGGCATGTCAAAAAAATGTTGGAAGAAAAAAAAGAAAAAAAAAACTAGTATCTCAATTGTTTGAAAAACAATTGAAAGGTCTTTCCTGTAAAAGTGATGTTTTTGTAATGTACTCTTTAAGACCTTTCATTTGATATACGACAAGCATACCTTCTAAAAATTTTCACTTTTTACACTTAATGACCCCATCCGCCTACATTTTTGATATCGGAAGTATGATATATGTAATCTAGACTTGATTATCTTTCATTTGATATGCGACAACGCCATGTTCTAGAAAGTTTGATTTCTGCACTTAATAACCTCATCCAACTTATTTTTTGAGGACAGGAATCTGATATTTGAAATGTACACGTTACGACCTTTCATTTAAAATACAACAACCTTACCTTAAAAGAAAATTATATTTTTTGCACTCAATGACCCCACCCAACCCATTTTTTGGGGACGTCATTTTGATATTTGAAATGTACGCTTTATGGACTTTCATTTGATATGCGACAACCTAACCATCTGAGAAGTTTTAATTTTTTGCACTAAATGACCCCACCCTTCCCCCTGGGATGAAAAGGGGGTTTTACATTTTCATTTTTGAGTAGAGCTAGTTAAGACCTTCAATTTGATATATCAAATGACCCGATTTGGCAAAGTGCCAAAAATGATGCAATATTAATTATATAAATAGAACTTATGAAACTTACAAAGTCAATGCAAAACATGAAAATTTCAAATTGATTTTTTGGTTTTTTTTTTCATTGAATGTTTTTGGTATTTAGTCAAACATATAACCATGTTAAACTCTTCAATTTCTTATAATTTCAGGTGGTTACCTGTTGTTGATTCAGAAATACATGCCTCCGCTCGCAAAATTTCAAAGTGCATTATCTCTTAAACGACAACATGTATCTCAAATTTGTTAAAAGAAAAATGATCTACAGTAAAAGGACAACATTTTAGAAAAAAAATTGGACAATTCCAAAGTTCATCAAGGTCACAATGAATTATCAAATATATGATGCAATATCAAACTTGAGAACCGTAAGTCGTAGAGACATGGGACTACCACCATTCAACTCAAGACCACTTGACCTCTCAAATGTCCCAAGGTCATGGTCATAGTACACTCTGAAGGTCAAGGTTAAATTTCATCATGACCTGACATTGACCTCAAATTGAAGGCCTTGAATTACTGATCATCTTTGCAGTTTATAGTAGGTTGATATCTGTTACCTTTTAAAAGATATACATATGTTACTATAGTTTTAAGAATTATGTTAATGTAACTTTTGAACAGACAGTCGGACATTTTTGAGCTTAATGTATAAAATGTAGAGCTCGTCGAGAGGAACATTTTATACATAGTATGTATGCAGCAAACTCTTATGGTTTTCTTAATATGCAAGCTTGAAATTGCAGCGTAAATTTTTTTTGCACTCTGTGACCTTTGACCTTGGGTGCAAATTGAAGGTCACATAAACTTAAGATTATTGGTGTAGGTCCCAAGTCTCTACGACTTACGGTTCTCGAAATACAATTTTTCAAAAATTGTGTATATTTTTTTAAGAGAAATTACTCCTTATAAGGGTCAATAACAAAATTATTTTATATGTTCATTAACATTGCTATCAGTTCCTGTATATGTTGCCGTTTTCAAATCGATTCTATCTCTAATACTTTTTGAGAAAAATGCAAAGGAAAGAAATCGCTTCAAGGGGATATAACTCGCATAGGGGATGATGAAATCCTATGCAGCCTCATATGGTAGTACATCATGATGAGATCAACCTATTGCCAACATAAGGTCATGATATCTTCAAAAACAACGAAGGGGGGCCATGTTGAAAAAATCCAATAAAAGGGGGATAACTTCTACAGGGGATGATGAAATCCTTAACAGGGTCATGTGGTAATACTTCATGATGATGTCTATCGATGGTCCATATTTGGTCTTGATAACTTTAACAGAAACGGGGGGAGGGCATTCCCAAAAAAATGTTGGAAGAAAAAAAAGAAAAAAAAAAAAAAAAAAAAAAAGAAAAAGAAAAAAAAAAAAAAAAAAAAAAAAAAAAAAAACATTAGAAAAACAATAAGGTCTTTCCTAACGGAGTGGAAAGACCTTAAAAAAAAAAAAAAAGAAAAAAAAAAACATTAGAAAAACTAGTATCTCAATTGTTTGTAAAACAATTGAAAGGTCTTTCCTGTAAAAGTGATGTTTTCGTAATGTACTTTTACGACCTTTCGATTGATATAGGACAAGCATACCTTCTCAAACTTTTCGCTTATTACACTTAATGACCCCATCCGCCTATATTTTCGAAATTGGAAGTATGATATATGTAATGTAGACTTGATGATCTTTCATTTGATATGCGACAGCAACATGTTCTTGAAAGTTTGATTTTTGCACTAAATAACCCCATCCAACTCATTTTTGGAGGCCATGAATTTGATATTTGAAATGTACACGGTCAGACCTTTCATTTGATATACAACAACCTTATCTTAAAAGAAAATTTATTTTTTGCACTCAATGACCCCACCCAACCCATTTTTTGGGGACGTCAATTTGATATTTTAAATGTACGCTTTATGGACTTTCATTTGATATGCGACAACCTAACCATCTGAGAAGTTTGTTTTTTTTGCACTAAATGACCCCACCCTTCCCATTGGGATGAAAAAGGGGTTTGAAATTTTCATTTTTGAGTACAGCTCATTTAGGCGTTCAATTTGATATACATAATGACTGCATTTGGCAAAGTTCCAAAAATGATGCAACATCAATTATATAAATATAACTTATGAAACTTACAAAGTCAATGTAAAAGATGAAAATTTCAAATTGACTTTTTTTTTAAAGTTTTTCATTGAAAGTTTTTGGTAATTTGTCAAACATATAGCCATGTTAAACTCTTCAATTTCTGAAAATTTCAGGTGGAAAGTTGTTGTTGATTCAGAAATACATGCCTCCGCTTGCACAATTTCAAACTGCATTATCTCTTATACGACAATAGATATCTCAAATCGGTTAAATAATAAATGATCTGCATTTGAAGGACAACATTGTAGAAAAAAAATTGGGACAATTCCGAAGTTAATCAAGGTCACAATGAATCATCAAATATATGATGCAATACCAAACAAGAGAACCGGAAGTTGTAGAACCATGGGACTACCATCATTCAACTCAGGACTACTTGACCTTTCAAATTTCACATGGTCAGGGTCATAGTACACTTTGAAGGTCAAGGTAAAATTTCATCATGACCTGACATTGACCTCAAATTGAAGGTCTTAAAATACTGATCATTTTTGCAGTTCATAGTAGGTTGATATCTGTTACCTTTTAAAAGATATACACACAAAACTATACTTTAAAGAATAATCTCGTCGTAACTTTTGAACAGACGGTCGGACATTTTTGAGCTTAATGTATAAAATGTAGAGCTCGTCGAGAGGAACATTTTATACACAGTATGTATGCAGCAAACTCTTATCGTTTTCTTAATATGTAAGCTTGAAATTGCAGCGTAAATTTTTTTTGCACTTGTTGACCTTTGACCTTAGATGCAAATTGAAGGTCACATGAACTAAAGATTATTGGTGTAGGTCCCAAGTCTCTACGACTTTTGGTTCTCGAAATACAATTTTTCAAAAATTATGTATATTTTTTCAAGAGGAATAACTCCTTATAAGGGTCAATAACAACATTATGTTATATGTTCATTAACATTGCCATCTGTTCCTGTAGATGTTGCTGTTTTCAAATCGATTCTATCCCTAATACTTTTTGAGAAAAATGCAAAGGAAAGAAATTGCTTCAAGGGAATATAACTCGCATAGGGGATGATGAAATCCTACGCAGCCTCATAGGGTAGTACATCATGATGAGATCTACCTATTGTCCACATAAGGTCATAATATCTTTAAAAACAACGAGGTGAGGCAATGTCGAAAAAATCCAATAAAAGGGAGATAACTTCTACAGGGGATGATGAAATCCTTAACAGGGTCATGTGGTAATACTTCAAGATGAGGTCTATCAATGGTCTATATTTGGTCTTGATAACTTTACCAGAAACGGGGGGGAGGGCATTCCCAAAAAAATGTTGGAAGAAAAAAAAGAAAAACTAGTATCTCAATTGTTTGTAAAACAATTGAAAGGTCTTTCCTGCAAAAGTGATGTTTTTGTAATGTACTCTTTAAGACCTTTCATTTGATATACGACAAGCATACCTTCTGAAAATTTTCACTTTTTACACTTAATGACCCCATCCGCCTACATTTTTGATATTGGAAGTATGATATATGTAATCTAGACTTGATTATCTTTCATTTGATATGCGACAACGCCATGTTCTAAAAAGTTTGATTTTTGCACTTAATAACCCCATCCATCTAATTTTTGGAGGACAGGAACTTGATATTTGAAATGTACACGTTATGACCTTTCGTTTGATATACAACAACCTTATCTTAAAAGAAAATTTATGTTTTGCACTCAATGACCCCACCCAACCCATTTTTTGGGGACGTCAATTTGATATTTGAAATGTACGCCTTATGGACTTTCATTTGATATGCGACAACCTAACCATCTGAAAAGTTTGAATTTTTTGCACTAAATGACCCCACCCTGCCCCCTGGGATGAAAATGGGTTTAACAATTTCATTTTTGAGTAGAGCTCGTTAAGGCCTTCAATTTGATATATCAAATGACCCCATTTGGCAAAGTGCCAAAAATGATGCAATATCAATTATATAAATAGAACTTATGAAACTTACAAAGTAAATGCAAAACATGAAAATTTCAAATTGATTTTTGGGGTTTTTTTTTTCAGTGAATGTTTTTGGTATTTAGTCAAACATACAATCATGTTGAATTCTTTAATTTCTGAAAATTTCAGGTGGTAATCTGTTGTTGATTCAGAAATACATGCCTCCGCTCGAAAAATTTCAAACTGCATTATCTCTTAAACAACAATAGATATCTCAAATCTGTTAAATGATAAATGATCTGCAGTTGAAAGGCAACATTGTATAAAAAAATTTGGGACAATTCCATAGTTCATCAAGGTCACAATGAATTATCAAATATATGATGCAATATCAAACTTCAGAACCGGAAGTCGTAGAGACATAAGACTACCACTATTCAACTCGGGACCACTTGACCTTTCAAATGTCATAATGTCAAGGTCATACCACACTCTGAAGGTCAAGGTTAAATTTCATCATGACCTGAAATTGACCTCAAATTGAAGGTTTTAAAATACTGATAATTTTTGCAATTTATAGTAGGTTGATATCTGTTACCTTTAAAAAGATATACACACAATTCTATACTTTTAAGAATTATCTCGTCGTAACTTGTGAACAGACGGTCGGACAGTTTTGAGCTTAATGAATAAAATGTAGAGCTCGTCGAGAGGAACATTTTATACACAGTATGTATGCAGCAAACTCTTATCGTTTTCTTAATATGTAAGCTTGAAATTGCCGCGTAATTTTTTTTTGCACTCAGTGACCTTTGACTTTGGGTGCAAGTTAAAGGTCACATGAATTAAAGATTATTGGTGAAGGTCCCAAGTCTCTACTACTTCCGGTTCTCGAAGTAGAATTCTCAAAAATTGTGTATAATTTTTCAAGAGAAATAACTCCTTATAAGGGTTAATAACAAAATAATTGTTTATGTTTATTAACATTGCCATCTGTTCTTGTACATGCTGCCATTTTCAAATTGATTCTATCTGTAATACTTTTTTAGAAAAATGCAAATAAAAGAAATTCCTTTAAGGGGATATAACTCTCAAAGGGGATGATGAAATCTTACGCAGCCTCATATGGTAATACATCATGGTAAGATCTACCTATTGTCCACATAAAGTCATGATATCTTAAAAAATAACGACGAGGGGCTATGTCGAAAAAAACCAATAAAAGGGAGATAACTTCTAAAGGGGATGATGAAATCCTTAACAGGGTCATCTGGTAATACTTCATGATGAGGTCTATCGATGGTTCATATTTGGTCTTGATAACTACAACAGAAACGGCGGGAGGGCATGTCAAAAAAAATGTTGGAAGAAAAAAAAGAAAAAACTAGTATCTCAATTGTTTGTAAAACAATTGAAAGGTTTTTCCTGCAAAAGTGATGTTTTTGTAATGTACTCTTTAAGACCTTTCATTTGATATACGACAAGCATACCTTCTGAAAATTTTCACTTTTTACACTTGATGACCCCATCCGCCTACATTTTTGATATCGGAAGTATGATATATGTAATCTAGACTTGATTATCTTTCATTTGATATGCGACAACGTTATGTTCTAGAAAGTTTTATTTTTGCACTTAATAACCCCATCCAACTAATTTTTTGAGGACAAGAATCTGATATTTGAAATGTACACGTTACGACCTTTCATTTGAAATACAACAACTTTACCTTAAAAGAAAATTTTATTTTTTGCACTCAATGACCCCACCCAACCCATTTTTGGGGACGTCAATTTGATATTTGAAATGTACGCTTCATGGAATTTCATTTGATATGCGACAACCTAACCATCCGAGAAGTTTGAATTTTTTGCACTAAATGACCCCACCCTTCCCCCCCGGGATGAAAAGGGGGTTTAACATTTTCATTTTTGAGTAGAGCTCGTTAAGACCTTCAATTTGATATATCAAATGACCCCATTTGGCAAAGTGCCAAAAATGATGCAATATCAATTATATAAATAGAACTTATGAAACTTACAAAGTAAATGCAAAACATGAAAATTTCAAAATTGATTTTTTGGGTTTTCTTTTCATTGAATGCTTTTGGTATTTAGTCAAACATATAACCATGTTGAATTCTTTAATTTCTGAAAATTTCAGGTGGTAAACTGTTGTTGATTCAGAAATACATGCCTCCGCTCGAAAATTTTCAAACTGCATTATCTCTTAAACGACAACAGATATCTCAAATCTGTTAAATGATAAATGATCTACCGTTAGAAGGCAACATTGTATAAAAAAATTTGGGACAATTCCATAGTTCATCAAGGTCACAATGAATTATCAAATATATGATGCAATATTAAACTTCAGAACCGGAAGTCGTAGAGACATAAGACTACCACTATTCAACTCAGGACCACTTGACCTTTCAAATGTCACAATGTCAATGTCATAGCACACTCTGAAGGTCAAGGTTAAATTTCATTATGACCTGACATTGACCTCAAATTGAAGGTTTTAAAATACTGATCATTTTTGCAATTTATAGTAGGTTACTTCTGTTCACTTTAAGAAGATATACACACAATACTATACTTTTAAGAATTATCTCGTCGTAACTTGTGAACAGACAGTCGGACAGTTTTGAGCTTAATAAATAAGATGTAGAGCTCGTCGAGAGGAACATTTTATACACAGTATGTATGCAGCAAACTCTTATCGTTTTCCTAATATGTAAGCTTGAAATTGCAGTGTAAATTTTGTTTGCACTCAGTGACCTTTGACCTTGGGTGGAAGTTAAAGGTCACATGAAATAAAGATTATTGGTGAAGGTCCCAAGTCTCTACGACTACCGGTTCTCGAAATACAATTTTTTAAAAATTGAGTAAAATTTTTCAAGGGAAATCACTCCGTATAAGGATTGATAACATACTAATTGTTTATGTTTATTAACATTGCCATTTGTTCTTGTAGATGCTGCAATTTTCAATTCGATTCTATCTCTTATACTTTTTAAGAAAAAATAAAATTAAAGAAATTGCTTCAAGGGGATGCAACTCTCAAAGGAGTTGATGAAATCCTACGCAGCCTCATATGGTAATACATCATGATGAGATCTACCTATAGTACAAATAAAATCATGATATCTTTAAAAACAACGAGGGGAGGCCATGTTGAAAAAACCCAATAAAAGGGAGATAACTTCCAAAGGAGATGATGAAATCCTAAACAGGGTCATCTGGTAATACTTCATGATGAGGTCTATCGGTGGTTCAAATTTGGTCTTGATAACTTTAATAGAAACGAGGGTAGGGCATGTCAAAAAAATGTTGGAAGAAAAAAAAGAAAAAAAAAAAGAAAAAGAAAAAACTAGTATCTCAATTGTTTGTAAAACAATTGAAAGGTCTTTCCTGTAAAAGTGATGTTTTCGTAATGTATTTTTTACGACCTTTCATTTGATATACGACAAGCATACCTTCTAAAACTTTTCGCTTTTTACACCTAATGACCCCATCCGCCTTAATTTTCGAGATCGGAAGTATGATATATGTAATGTAGACTTGATGATCTTTCATTTGATATGCGACAACGCCATCTTCTAGAAAATTTGATTTTTGCACTTAATAACCCCATCCAACTAGTTTTTCTAGAACAGGAATTTGATATTTGAAATGTACACGTTATGACCTTTCATTTGATATACAACAACCTTATCTTAAAAGAAAATTTATGTTTTGCACTCAATGACCCCACCCAACTCATTTTTTGGGGACGTCAATTTGATATTTGAAATGTACGCTTTATGGACTTTCATTTGATATGCGACAACATAACCATCTGAGAAGTTTGAATTGTTTGCACTTAATGACCCCACCTTTCCCACTGGGATGGAAAAGGGGTTTGAAATTTTCATTTTTGAGTAGAGCTCATTTAGACGTTCAATTTGATATACATAATGACCGCATTTGGCAAAGAGCCAAAAATGATGTAATATCAACTATATAAATAGGACTTATGAAACTTACAAGATGAAAATTTCAAATTGATTTTTTTTTTGAGTTTTTCATTGAAAGTTTTTGGTAATTAGTCAAACATATAACCATGTTAAACTCTTCAATTTCTGAAAATTTCAGGTGGAAAGCTGTTGTTGATTCAGAAATACATGCCTCCGCTCGCAAAACTTCAAACTGCATTATCTCTAAAACGACAATAGATATCTCAAATCTGTTAAATGATAAATGATCTGAAGTTAAAGAGCAATGTTGCATAAAAAATTTGGGACAATTTCAAAGTTCATCAAGGTCACAATGAATCATCAAATATATGATGCAATACCAAACTTAAGAACCGGAGTCGTAGAGACATAAGACTACCACCATTCAACTCAAGACAACTTGACCTTTCAAATATCACAAGGTCAAGGTCATAGTACACTTTGAAGGTCAAGGTAAAATTTCATCATGACCTGACATTGACCTCAAATTGAAGGTCTTACAATACTGATCATTTTTGCAATTTATAGTAGGTTGCTATATGTTACCACTTAAAAGATATTCACACAATACTATACTTTTAAGAATTATCTAGATGTAACTTTTGAACAGACGGTCGGACATGTTTGAGCTTAATGTATAAAATGTAGAGCTTGTCGAGAAGAACATTTTATACACAGTATGTATGCAGCAAACTCTTATTGTTTTCTTAATATGCAAGCTTGAAATTGCAGCGTAAATTTTTTTGCACTCGGTGACCTTTGACCTTGGTTGCAAATTAAAGGTCACATGAATTAAAGATTAGTGGTGAAGGTCCCAAGTCTCTACGACTTCCGGTTCTTGAAATAGAATTTGTTTTAAATTGTGTAAATTTTTTAAAGGGAAATAACTCCTTATAAGGGTTGATATCAAAATAATTGTTTATGTTTATTAACATTGCCATCTGTTCTTGTACATGCTGCAATTTTCAAATCAATTCTATCCCTTATACTTTTTAAGAAAAATGCAAATAAAAGAAATTGCTTCAAGGGGATATAACTCTCAAAGGGGATGATGAAATTCTACGCAGCCTCATATGGTAATACATCATGATGAGATCTACCTATTGTACAAATAAGGACATGATATCTTTAAAAACAACGAGGGGCGGCCATGTTGAAAAAAACCAATAAAAGGGAGATAACTTCTAAAGTGGATGATGAAATCCTTAACAGGGTCATCTGGAAATACTTCATGATGAGGTCTATCGATGGTCCGTATTTGGTCTTGATAACCCTAATAGAAACGAGGGGAGGGCAGGTCAAATAATATTGGAAGAAAAAAAAGAAAAAAAAAAAAAAAAAAAACTAGTATCTCAATTGTTTGTAAAACAATTGAAAGGTCTTTCCTGTTAAAGTGATGTTTTCGTAATGTACTTTGTACGACCTTTCATTTGATATACGACAAGCATACCTTCTGAAACTTTTCGCTTTTTACACTTAATGACCCCATCCGCCTTAATTTTCGAGATCGGAAGTATGATATATGTAATCTAGACTTTATGATCTTTCATTTGATATGCGACAACGCCATGTTCTAGAAAGTTTGATTTTAGCACTAAATAACCCCATCCAACTCATTTTTTGAGGACAGGAATCTGATATTTGAAATGTACATGTTACGACCTTTCATTTGAAATACAACAAACTTGCCTTAAAAGAAAATTTTATTTTTTGCACTCAATGACCCCACCCAACCCATTTTTTGGGGACGTCAATTTGATATTTGAAATGTACGCTTTATGGACTTTCATTTGATATGCGACAACCTAACCATCTGAGAGGTTTTAATTTTATGCACTAAATGACCCCACCCTTCCCCCTAGGATGAAAAAGGGGTTTAACATTTTCATTTTTGAGTAGAGCTCGTTAAGACCCTCAATTTGATATATCAAATGACCCCATTTGGCAAAGTGCCAAAAATGATGCAATATTAATTATATAAATAGAACTTATGAAACTTACAAAGTCAATGCAAAACATGAAAATTTCAAATTGATTTTTTGGTTTTTTTTTTCATTGAATGTTTTTGGTAATTAGTCAAACATATAACCATGTTAAACTCTTCAATTTCTTATAATTTCAGGTGGTAAACTGTTGTTGATTCAGAAATACATGCCTCCGCTCGCAAAATTTCAAAGTACATTATCTCTTAAACGACAACAGGTATCTCAAATTTGTTAAAAGAAAAATGATCTACAGTAAAAGGACAACATTTTAGAAAAAAGTTGGACAATTCCAAAGTTCATCAAGGTCACAATGAATTATCAAATATATGATGCAATATCAAACTTGAGAACCGGAAGTCGTAGAGACATGGGACTACCACCATTCAACTCGGGACCACTTGACATTTCAAATGTCACAAGGTCATGGTCATAGTACACTCTGAAGGTCAAGGTTAAATTTCATCATGACCTGACATTGACCTCAAATTGAAGGCCTTGAATTACTGATCATCTTTGCAGTTTATAGTAGGTTGATATCTGTTACCTTTTAAAAGATATACATATGTTACTATAGTTTTAAGAATTATGTTAATGTAACTTTTGAACAGACGGTCGGACATTTTTGAGCTTAATTTATAAAATGTAGACCTCGTCGAGAGGAACATTTTATACACAGTATGTATGCAACAAACTCTTATCGTTTTCTTAATATGCAAGCTTGAAATTGCAGCGTAAATTTTTTTTGCACTCTGTGACCTTTGACCTTGGGTGCAAATTGAAGCTCACATGAACTAAAGATTATTGGTGTAGGTCCCAAGTGTCTACGACTTCCGGTTCTCGAAATACAATTTTTCAAAAATTGTGTATATTTTTTTAAGAGAAATAACTCCTTAAAAGGGTCAATAACAAAATCATTTTATATGTTCATTAACATTGCCATCTGTTTCTGTATATGTTGCCGTTTTCAAATCGATTCTATCCCTAATACTTTTTGAGAAAAATGCAAAGGAAAGAAATCGCTTCAAGGGGATGATGAAAACCTATGCAGCCTCATATGGTAGTACATCATGATGAGATCAACCTATTGTCAAAATAAGGTCATGATATTTTTAAAAACAACGAAGGGGGGCCATGTTGAAAAAATCCAATAAAAGGGGGATAACTTCTACAGGGGATGATGAAATCCTTAACAGGGTCATGTGGTAATACTTCAAGATGATGTCTATCGATGGTCCATATTTGGTCTTGATATCTTTAACAGAAACGGGGGAGGGCATTCCCAAAAAATGTTGGAAGGAAAAAAAGAAAAAAAAAAAAAAGAAAAAGAAAAAAAAAAAAAAGAAAAAAAAAAACATTAGAAAAACAATAAGGTCTTTCCTAACGGAGTGGAAAGACCTTAATTAGAAAAACAATAAGGTCTTTCCTAACGGAGTGGAAAGACCTTAAAAAGAAAAAAAAACATTAGAAAAACAATAAGGTCTTTCCTAACGGAGTGGAAAGACCTTAAAAACATTAAAAAACAGTAAGGTCTTTCCTAACGGAGTGGAAAGACCTTAAATATAAATCAATTGTAAACGATATTTCCCCTTTGAAACATGATTGATTGCACTGTTTGTTTGTTTGTTTGTTTGTTTGTTTGTTTGTTTCCTTGTTTATTTGTTTGTTTATTTGATTTGTTCAATGGATGTCTTATCTTCTACCAGTCAATTGTTCACATTACAAGGAGAGAAAAAAAAACCACGAGTAAAACACACACAACAGATTTGCCGTCCAGTGAGAGATATTTCTTTATTTATTAGGATACAGTTACAGAAAGAAACAGGTTTTAGTACCCCTCCCCCCCCCCCCCCCCCTAAATTAAAAGAGGGGCGGGACCCAAGTTTACATTTTCATACAAGTTTTTATTCTATTTCAGGTCCCGCGCGCATCTCTGGAGCGGATTGTGACGTCACGAGGCTTGTTGATATTAGCGAAAACTTAGCAAATTTCTTTCTTTTTAGGTGTAGATGTTGGACAGACAACATGTATATCGACGGAATAACACATAACGTATTTCTTTTGTTACTGTAGGTAATTGATGTTTTGAACGGAGTTCACGAGCAGTGCATGCTTTTGATTTATTTTATCCTGTGTACTTTTAAAACACGTTTATCGATTATTTTTATACAATGTACATATTTCAGCAGCAGTTTGTAACACAGATTTGTATTTTAATCTATGAGCAGACATTTTATTGTAGGATTTCACTGATATTTACGGAACTCGAAAGCGATTTCTACGGCATTGACATTTGTTTTCTCTACGAAAATTCTTGGGAGGTAGCTGCAAAACGTTGTTGAAATTAGATGGAATACATATATACCTTGTTGGCTGCAGAGTTAGAGGTCAATTGGACATGTAGTTTCAGCGAAGTAGCACACATAAGAATTTGATCCGTGTTTTCCGAGAAAAATTGTCATAACAATAATATACGACAGCCTTACCTTAGAAGACAATTTATTTTTTGCACTCAATGACCCCACCCAACCCATTCATGTGGATGGGGGGGGGGGGGAAGTAAATTTGATATTTGAAAAATACGCTTTATGGACTTTCATTTGATATGCGACAACCTAACCATGTAAGAAGTTCTATTTTTGCACTAAATGACCCAACCCTTCTAAGGGGATGAAAAAGGGGGGGTTGAAATTTTCATTTTTGAGTAGAGGGCATTTAGACGTTCAATTTGATATACCAAATGACCCCATTTGGCAAAGTAAAAAAATTGATGCAATATCAATTGTATAAATAGAACTTATGAAACTTACAAAGTCAATGTAAAACATGAAAATTTCAAATTGATTTTTTTTTTAGGTTTATCATTGAATGTTTTTGGTAATTAGTCAAACACATAACCATGTTAAACTCTTCAATTTCTGAAAATTTCAGGTGGTAAGCTGTTGTTGATTCAGAAATACATGCCTCCGCTCGCAAAATTTCAAACTGCATTATCTCTAAAACGACAATAGATATCTCAAATCTGTTAAATGATAAATGATCTGCAGTTGAAGGGCAACTTTGTATAAAAAAATTTGGGACAATTCCAAAGTTCATCAAAGTCACAATGAATCATCAAATATATAATGCAATACCAAACTTGAGAACCGGAAGTCGTAGAGACATGGGAATACCACCATTCAACTCAAGACAACTTGACCTTTCAAATGTCACAATGTCAAGGTCATAGTACACTTTGAAGGTCAAGGTAAAATTTCATCATGACCTGACATTGACCTCAAATTGAAGGTCTTAAAATACTGATCATTTTTGCAATTTATAGTAGGTTGATATCTGTTACCTTTAAAAAGATCTACACACAATACTATACTTTTAAGAATTATCTCATCGTAACTTTTGAGCAGACGGTCGGACCGTTTTGAGCTTAATGAATAAAATGTAGAGCTCGTCGAGAGGAACATTTTATACACAGTATGTATGCAGCAAACTCTTATCGTTTTTTTAATATACAAGCTTGAAATTGCAGCGTAATTTTTTTTTTGCACTCAGTGACCTTTGACCTTGGATGCAATTAAAGGTCACATGAATTAAAGATTATTGGTGAAGGTCCCAAGTCTCTACGACTTCTGGTTCTAGAAATACATTTTTTTTTTAAATTGAGTAAATTTTTTCAAGGGAAATAACTCCTTATAAGGATTGATAGTATACTAATTGTTTATCTTTATTAACATTGCCATCTATTCCTGCAGATACTGCCATTTTCAAATCGATTCTATCCCTAATACTTTTTGAGAAAAATGCAAAGGAAAGAAATTGCGTCAAGGGGATATAACTCGCATAGGGGATGATGAAATCCTATGTAGCCTGCTATGGTAGTACATCATGATGAGATCTACCTATTGTTCAAATAAGGTCATGATATCTTTAAAAACTACGAGTTGGGGCCATGTCGAAAAAATCCAATAAAAGGGAGATAACTTCTACAGGGGATGACAAAATCCTTAACAGGGTCATCTGGTAATACTTCATGATGAGGTCTATCGATGGTCCATATTTGGTCTTGATAACTTCAACAGAAACGGGGGGAGGGCATTCCCAAAAAAATGTTGGAAGAAAAAAAAGAAAAAAAAGAAAAAGACTAGTATCTCAATTGTTTGTAAAACAATTGAAAGGTCTTTCCTGTAAAAGTGATGTTTTCGTAATGTACTTTTTACGACCTTTCATTTGATATACGACAAGCATACCTTCTAAAACTTTTCGCTTTTTACACCTAATGACCCCATCCGCCTTAATTTTCGAGATCGGAAGTATGATATATGTAATGTAGACTTGATGATCTTTCATTTGATATGCGACAACGCCATCTTCGAGAAAGTTTGATTTTTGCACTTAATAACCCCATCCAACTACTTTTTCTAGAACAGGAATTTTATATTTGAAATGTACACGTTATGACCTTTCATTTGATATACAACAACCTTATCTTAAAAGAAAATTTATGTTTTGCACTCAATGACCCCACCCAACTCATTTTTTGGGGACGTCAATTTGATATTTGAAATGTACGCTTTATGGACTTTCATTTGATATGCGACAACCTAACCATCTGAGAAGTTTGAATTGTTTGCACTTAATGACCCCACCCTTCCCACTGGGATGGAAAAGGGGTTTGAAATTTTCATTTTTGAGTAGAGCTCATTTAGACGTTCAATTTGATATACATAATGACCGCATTTGGCAAAGAGCCAAAAATGATGCAATATCAACTATATAAATAGGACTTATGAAACTTACAAAGTCAATGTAAAAGATGAAAATTTCAAATTGATTTTTTTTTTTGAGTTTTTCATTGAAAGTTTTTGGTAATTAGTCAAACATATAACCATGTTAAACTCTTCAATTTCTGAAAATTTCAGGTGGAAAGCTGTTGTTGATTCAGAAATACATGCCTCCGCTCGCAAAACTTCAAACTGAATTATCTCTAAAACGACAATAGATATCTCAAATCTGTTAAATGATAAATGATCTGCAGTTAAAGGGCAACGTTGCATAAAAAATTTGGGACAATTCCAAAGTTCATCAAGGTCACAATGAATCATCAAATATATGATGCAATACCAAACTTGAGAACCGGGAGTTGTAGAGACATAAGACTACCACCATTCAACTCAAGACAACTTGACCTTTCAAATATCACAAGGTCAAGGTCATAGTACACTTTGAAGGTCAAGGTAAAATGTCATCATTACCTGACATTGAACTCAGATTGAAGGTCTTACAATACTGATCATTTTTGCAATTTATAGTAGGTTTATATCTGTTACCTTTAAAAAGATATATACACAATACTATACTTTTAAGAATTATCTCGTCGTAACTTTTGAACAGACGGTCGGACATTTTTAAGTTTAATGTATAAAATGTAGAGCTCGTCGAGAGGAACATTTTATACACAGTATGTATGCAGCAAACTCTTATCGTTTTCTTAATATGTAAGCTTGAAATTGCAGTGTAATTTTTTTTTGCACTCGGTGACCTTTGACCTTGGTTGCAAAGTGAAGGTCACATGAACTTAAGATTATTGGTGTAGGTCCCAAGTCTCTACGACTTCCGGTTCTCGAAATACAATTTTTCAAAAATTGTGTATATTTTTTCAAGAGAAATAACTCCTTATAAGGGTCAATAACAAAATTATTTTATATGTTCATCAACATTGCCATCTGATCTTGTACATGTTGCTGTTTTCAAATCGATTCTATCCCTAATAGTTTTTAAGAAAAATGCAAAGGAAAGAAATTGCTTTAAGGGAATATAACTCGCATAGGGGATGATGAAATCCTATGCAGCCTCATATGGTAGTACATCATGATGAGATCTACCTATTGTCTAAATCAGGTCATGATATCTTTAAAAACAACGAGGGGGGGCCATGTCGAAAAAATCCAATAAAAGGGAGATAACTTCTACAGAGGATGATGAAATCCTTAACAGGGTCATGTGGTAATACTTCATGATGCGGTCTATCGATGGTCCATATTTGGTCTTGATAACTTCAACAGAAACAGGGGAAGAGCATTCCCAAAAAATGTTGGAAGAAAAAAAAGAAAAAAAAAAAGAAAAAAAAAAAACATTAGAAAAACAATAAGGTCTTTCCTAACGGAGTGGAAAGACCTTAAAAAAAAAACATTAGAAAAATAATAAGGTCTTTCTCACGGAGTGGAAAGACCTTAATAATAATAATAATAGGGAAAAAGAAATAGAGGAAAAGCAATATGTCACCCGACATTATCGATCGGGTGACATAACAAGTAATCCTGTGTTAGGATGCTAACACAAAAGTCGCCAAAACGGCCCCCAACCATTGTTCTACTGTTTTCATGGTAACGGCAGCCATTTTGAAACTTCAAAGTCGGATATCACATCTACATGTGACAGGTCACATTACTTACAAGTTTCATAAAAATTGGACCAATTTTCAAATTTAGGCATTCGTGTTTCCATGGTTACGGTGGCCATTTTGGAAATTCCAAAGTCAAATGTCACATCTACATAAGACAGTCAACATTTGTGTAAAGTTTCATCAAGTTTGAAGCATTTTGAATTTTTTGACATTTTTGCAGTTTCCATGGTAACCGCAGCCATTTTGAAAATTCCAAAGTCGGATGGCACATCTACACATGACAGGTCACATTACTGTCAAGTTTCATAAAGATTAAACCAAATCTAGATTTTTCGCATTTTTGTTGTTTCCATGGCAATGGCTGCCATTTTGGAAATTCCAAAGTCAAATTCCAAATCTACATACACTCGTTCACATCTCTGTAAAATTTCATTAAATTTAAAGTATTTTAAAAAATTTCACATTTTTGCAGTTTCCATGGTAACGGCGGCCATTTTAAAAATTCCAAAGTCGAATTACAGCTACATATGGTGCTACCTGTAATAATCTATCATTATATAGCATAATAAAATGCTCCGCAGGGCGCAGCTAGATACGACCGCAGAGGTCGAACCCTGAACAGTTGGGGCAAGTATGGACACAACATTCAAGCTTGATACAGCTCTGAATTTGGATTGTGATTAAATATTTGACACAGCATAGGTTTCTGACACAGAATGAATGTGGTCTAAGAACTTAAAAATTTTAAATTGGACATTCACCTATTATGGTCCAATATCCAAAATCTAAATACATGGTTAGATTCAGCATATCAAAGAACCCCAAGAATTCAATTTTTGATGAAATCAAACAAAGTTTAATTTTGGACCCTTTTGATCTCAATGTGGACAAAGTTGATAACGGGGCCCAAAAATCAAAAATCTAAATACATGGTTAGATTCAGCATATCAAAGAACCCCATATATTCAATTTTTGTTGAAATCAAACAAAGTTTAATTTTGGACCCCGATTTGGACCAACTTGAAAACTGGGCCCATAATCAAAAATCTAAATACATGTTTAGATTCAGCATATCAAAGAACCCTAAAAATTCAATTTTTGTTAAAATCAAACTAAGTTTAATTTTGGACCCTTTGGACCTTAATGTAGACCAATTTGAAAACGGAATCAAAAATTAAGAATCTAAATACACGGTTAGATTCGGCATATCAAAGAACCCCAATAATTCAATTTTTGATGAAATCAAACAAAGTTAAATTTTGGACCCTTTGGACCTCAATGTGGACCAATTTAAAAACGGGGCCCAAAATCCAAAAACTTAATACACAGTTAGGTTCAGCATATTAAAGAACCCCAAGAATTCAAGAATAAAACCCCATTGAAATTGATCAAGAAATAAGCAATTTATACGAAGTATCTTCTTTTGCACAATACTGTGCAATTAAATATTTCTTGCTATTGCGCAATACTGTACAATTGACAATTTCTTGCTATTGCGCAATATTGTGCTATTGGATATTTCTTGCTATTGCGCAATACTGTGCAATTGAAGATTTCTTGCTATTGCGCAATACTGTGCAATTGAAGATTTCTTGCTATTGTGCAATACTGTGCAATTGAAAATTTCTTGCTATTGCACAATACTTATTATATAATAATTTACACATCCTGTTTGGTGTGTATCTCCTACCATATCATTATTATTTGCTTTTAAATATTAATCAGAAATAACCAACTTAAAATGGAAAATTTTAAAAGAAAAAAAAAAGGAAAAAAAGAAAAAAAAATAAAAAAAAAAATCCCCCCCCCCAAATTTTTTGAACCCCTTATGATTCATCACCCCCAAACTCAATCCCAGCCTTCCCTTTGTGGTATGGTACCTTGCAGTACAATTTCAGAGAGATCCATACACTTGAACACAAGTTATTGTCTGGAAACTAGAAAAATGCTTATTTTTGGCCCCTTTTTGGCCCCCAATTCCTAAACGTTTCGGGCAATTACCCCCAAACTCAATTCCAGCTTTCCCTTTGTGATATGGAACCTTGTAGTACAATTTCAGAAATATCCAAACACTTACACACAAGTTATTGGCATGAAACTAGAAAAATGCTGGTTTTTTGCCCCTTTTTTGGCCCCTTATTCCTAAAATTTTGAGGCAATTACCCCCAAAATCAATTACAGCCTTTCCTTTGTGATATGGAACCTTGTGGTACAATGTCAGAGAGATCCATACACTTACACACAAGTTATTGTCTGGAAGTTACAAAAATGCTTATTTTTGGCCCCTAATTCCTTAACTGTTGGTACCATAACCCCCAAAATCAATCCCAACCTTCCTTTCGTGGTATTGAACCTTATGGTAAAATTTCATGGAGATCCATTCACTTAAACTAAAGTTAGAGTGCAAAAACCAATGTGTCTTCGGACGACGCCAGACGACGACAACAACGACGACGACGCCAACGTCATACCAATATACGACCAAAAAATTTTTAATTTTTGGGGTCGTATAAAAGTACATAGGAATAATTCAACACTATCACATGACTATTGTTCTAGAATGTTCCATGAAAATTGACCCCCTAAAATAATGCCAAGATGACCCCGGGCTGAAATAAAAAATGTGGAATGGACACCTGGACATCGGTCTCTTGTATTACACAAAACTTAAAGGTTCTACCAGTAGCGAATCAATAGTAGAAAAATGACTCCACCCATGTTCCAGCCCCCAAATAGTGCCAAGTTGACCCCATTTGAAATAAAAAATAGTGAATGCACCCCTAGGGATACTACCCCATCATCATATATATACCAAATATAAAGTTTCCATCATTTAAGGCTTGGAAGAAAATGGTCGGACAAATTATGGTTAAGAATAATAATAATAATAATAATAACTAAATTTGCCATTGCAAGCAATAGTGGATGTCACCCTTCCCCCATTGCCACTAAGTGGCAGCCATTTCAAAAAAATTTAACAGTGAATGCACATATATGCATAACTATACATCTTTCTGTAAATTTTCAGTACATTCAGAGCATTAAAAAAAATCACATTTTTGCAGTTTCCATGGCAACGGCAGCCATTTTGAAAATTTCAAAGTCAAAAGTCTCATCCAGACTTGCCATTCAACAATCATATGAAGTTTCATGAATTTTGGAGCATTTTGAAATTTTTGAAATTTTTGACATTTTTGATGGTTCCTATGGTAACAGAGACAATTCCCAAAATTTAATGACAGATGCCACATTGGAACACAGGAGGGAACATACCATCAAAGTTTCAATCGATTTGACCTACCATTTTAAGAAAGTAAATGCTACTTTTAGGTTTTTGGAGGATTTTGACCTGTTTTGTATTGTTTCCATGGTAACGACAGACATTTTCGAAATTCCAACGCCAAATTCAACATCTACCAATGTTGCTCATCGTTACTGTGAAGTTTCATTAAATTTTGATATTTTTGAAATTTTTGGTGTAGTTTCCATGGCAACATAGTAGTTCCAATGATTGCAAAAATCATCCAAAACCAGTATATAGTGGGCACCTACATTGTATTAAAATCTAATGATTTTAAGTTTAAGCATTCTCAAATAATTCACCGAAAACCAAAATTATATTTTTTCACCATTTTTCAGTTTCCATGGTGATGGCAGCCATTTTTTAGTTCCAAAGTTGCACTGCAACTCGAAAATCAGGGTTCCTTGTTATAGTGAACCATCATTCAGATTGGTTCCTTTGGCTCTGAGAAAGCAGGCGGACATAATTAGGTGGAAGAAAAATAATAATAATAATAATAATAATAGGGAAAAAGAAACAGAGGAAAAGCAATATGTCACCCGACATTATCGATCGGGTCACATAACAAGTAATCCTGTGTTAGGATGCTAACACAAAAGTCGCCAAAACGGCCCCCAACCATTGTTCTACTGTTTCAATGGTAACGGCAGCCATTTTGAAACTTCAAAGTCAGATATCACATCTACACGTGACAGGTCACATTACTTACAAGTTTCATAAAAATTGGACCAATTTTCAAATTTAGGCATTCATGTTTCCATGGTTACGGTGGCCATTTTAAAAATTCCAAAGTCAAATGTCACATCCACATAAGACAGTCAACATTTGTGTAAAGTTTCATCAAGTTTGAAGCATTTTGATTTTTTTTACATTTTTGCAGTTTCCATGGTAACGGCAGCCATTTTGAAAATTCCAAAGTCGGATGGCACATCTACACATGACAGGTCACATTACTGTCAAGTTTCATAAAGATTGGACCAAATCTAGATTTTTCGCATTTTTGTTGTTTCCATGGCAACGGCGGCCATTTTGGAAATTCCAAAGTCAAATTCCAAATCTACATACACTTGTTAACATCTCTGTAAAATTTCATTAAATTTGAAGCATTTTAAAAATTTTTCACATTTTTACAGTTTCCATGGTAACGGCGGCCATTCTAAAAATTCCAAAGTCAAATTACAGCTACATATGGTGCTACCTGTAATAATCTATCATTATATAACATAAAAAGTACATAGGAATAATTCAACACTATCACATGACTAATCACATGACTATTGTTCTAGAATGTTCCATGAAAATTGACCCCCTAAAATAATGCCAAGATGACCCCAGGCTGAAATAAAAAATGTGGAATGGACACCTGGACATCGGTCTCTTGTATTACACAAAACTTAAAGGTTCTACCAGTAGCGAATCAATAGTCGAAAAATGACCCCACCCATGTTCCGGCCCCCAAATAGTGCCAAGTTGACCCCCATTTAAAATAAAAAATAGTGAATGCACCCCTAGGGATACTACCCCAACATCATACCAAATATAAAGTTTCCTTCATTTAAGGCTTGGAAGAAAATGGTCGGACAAATTAGGGTTAAGAATAATAATAATAATAATAAATAACGGGACAAAAACATAAAGTCCCCAAAACTCCGTTTTGGCGACTTAATAAGAAACGGGACAAAAACATAAAGTCCCCAAAACTCAGTTTTGGCGACTTAACTAGATTCGCCATTGCAAGCAATAGCGGATGTCACCCTTCCCCCTATTGCCTCTAAGCGGCAGACATTTCAAAAATTTTAAACAGTGAATGCACATATATGCATGGCTTTACATCTTTCTGTAAATTTTCAGAACATTTGGAGCATTTTGAAATTTTTACACATTTTTGCTGTTTCCATGGCAACGGCGGCCATTTTGGAAATTCCAAAGCCAGAAGTCTCATATATACTTGCCAGTTAACATTTATATTAAGTTTTATAAAGTTTGGAGCATTTTGAAATTTTTGACATTTTTGCTGGTTTCCATGGTAACAGAGACCATTTCCAAAATTTTAATGACAGATGCCACATTGGTACATTGGAGGGAACATACCATCAAAGTTTCAATCGATTTGACCTCCCATTTTAAGAAAGTAAATGCCACTTTTAGGTTTTTGGATCACTTTGACCTGTTTTGCATTGTTTCCATGGTGACGGCAGACACTCTTGAAATTCCAACGCCAAATCCCACATCTACCAATGTTGCTCTTCATTACTGTGAAGTTTCATTAAATTTTGAGCATTTTGATATTTTTGAAATTTTTGGTGTAGTTTCCATGGCAACATAGTAGTTCCAGTGATTGCCAAAATCATCCAAAACCAGTATATAGTGGGCACCTATACATTGTATTAAAATTTCATGATTCTAAGTTTATGCATATCCAAATAATCCACCAAACTCTAAAATTTTATTTTTTCACCTTTCTTTGGTTTCCATGGTGATAGCATCCATTTTTTAGTGCCAAAGTTGCACTGCAACTCGTAAGTCAGGGTTCCTTGTTACAGTGAACAACCATTAAGATTGGTGTATTAGGCTCTGAGAAAACTGCAGGACAAAATTAGGTGGAAGAATAATAATAACTAGAATTGCTATTGCAAGCAATAGCGGATGTCACCCTGCCCCCATTGCCACTAAGCGGCAGCCATTTCGAAAATTTTAAACAGTGGATGCACATATATACATTGCTATACACCTTTTTGCAAATTTTCAGAACATTAAGAGCTTTTTTAAATTTTTCACATTTTTGATGTTTCCATGGCAACGGCAGCCATTCTGGAAATTCCAAAGTGGAAAGTCTCATCTATACTTGCCAGTTAACATTTATATTTAGTTTCATTAAATTTGGAGCATTTTTGAAATTTTTGAAATTTTTGCTGTTTCCATGGTAACAGTGATTAATTCCAAAATTCCAAAGACATATGCCACACTGACTGATGACATGTTATATATGATTGCAGTTTCATTTGGTTTAATCTTATATTCTTTAAGAAAACGCTCCTTTAATATGTTTTCCCATAGGGTCAATGTTAAACTTTTGCCCAGTTTCCATGGCAATGGCAGCCATTTTGGAATTTCTAAATATAGTCGGTGCTTCCACACATACCAGGCATCATTTCCATAAAGTTTCATTTGGTTTGGTCAAATAATAAAAGAATTGCCTTTTTGAAAAATTTTCAGATTGTTGCGGTTTCCATGGAAACGGTGGCCATTTAAAAAATTCCATAGGTGTCCTGCATAACTAGAGTTGGTGGTCCTCATTATGGTACCCATTCATTATGATTGGTCCACTAATCTATGAGAAAACACTAGGACAAAAAAGGTGGAATAATAATAATAATAATAATAATAAAGAAACGGAGGAAAAGCAATATGTCACCCGACATTGTTGTACGGGTGACATAATAACTAGATTTGCCATTGCAAGCAATAGCGGATGTCACCCTTCCCCCCATTGCCACTAAGCGGCAGCCATTTCAAAAATGTTAAACCAGGATGCTTATATATGCATGGCTATACATGGTTCTGTAAATTTTTAGAACATTTAAATATTTTTGATCATTTAAAATTTTTTGACATTTTTGCAGTTTCCATGGCAACGGTGGCCATTTTGGAAATTCCAAAGTCAAAAGTCTCATCTAGACTGGCCAGTTAAGAATCATATTAACTTTCATTAAGTTTGGAGCATTTAGTAATTTTGGGAAATTTTTGACATTTTTGCTGGTTTCTATGGTAACAGAGACCATTCCCAAAATTTGATGACAGGTGCTACATTGGTACATGGGAGGGAACATACCATTAAAATTTCAATGGATTTGACATACCATTTTAAGAAAGTAAATGCCACTTTTAGGTTTTTGGATCATTTTGACCTGTTTTGCATTGTTTCCATGGTAACGGCAGACATTTTTGAAATTCCAACGCCAAATTTCACATCTACCAATGTTGCTCATCATTACTGTGAAGTTTAAATAAATTTTGAGCATTTTGATATTTTTGAAATTTTTGGTGTAGTTTCCATGGCAACATAGTAGTTCCGATGATTGCCAAAATCATCCAAAACCAGTATAAAGTGAACACCTACATTGTATTAAAATTTGATGATTTTAAGTCAAAGCATATCCAAATAATTCACCAAACCCTGTAATTTTATTTTTTCATCTTTTTTCGGTTTCCATGGTTACGGCAGCCATTTTTTAGTTCCAAATTGCACTGCAACTCGAAAGTCAGGGTTCCTTGTTATAGTGCACCATCATTTAGATTGGTTCCTTTGGCTCTGAGAAAACTGGCGGACAAAATTAGGTGGAAGAAAAATAATAATAATAATAATAATAATAGGGAAAAAGAAACAGAGGAAAAGCAATATGTCATCCGACATTGTCGATCGGGTGACATAACTAGATTTGCCATTGCAAGCAATAGCGGATGGCACCCTTCCCCCATTGCCAGGCAAGCGGCAGCCATTTAGAAAATTCCAAAGTCAAAGAGTGCATCTACACATACAAATTATCATATTTGTAAAGTTTCATTAAGTTTGGAGCATTTTGAAATTTTTGACATTTTTGCTGTTTCCATAGTTACGGTGGCCATTTTGAAAATTCCAACTTCAAAATTCAACTCTGCCCATGCCAGTTACCATTTCTGTAAAGTTTCATCCAGTTTGCAGCATTTTGATTGTTTTTAAAATTTTGGACATTTTTGCTGTATCCATGGTTACAGTAGATAATTCCAAAATTCTAAAAGCAGACAACTCATTGACACATGTCATGTTATATATCAATACAGTTTCATTGACCTTGGTGCAATACTCTTTAAAATAAAATGCTCCGCAGGGCGCAGCTTGATACGACCGCAGAGGTCGAACCCTGAACAGTTGGGCCAAGTATGGACACAACATTCAAGCTTGATACAGCTTTGCATTTGGATTGTGATTAAATATTTGACACAGCATAGGTTTCTGACACAGAATGAATGTGGTCTAAGAACTTAAAAATTTTAAATTGGACATTCACCTAATATGGTCCAATATCCAAAATCTAAATACATGGTTAGATTCAGCATATCAAAGAACCCCAAGAATTCAATTTTTGATGAAATCAAACAAAGTTTAATTTTGGACCCTTTTGACCTCAATGTGGACAAAGTTGATAACGGGGCCCAAAAATCAAAAATCTAAATACATGGTTAGATTCAGCATATCAAACAACCCCATATATTCAATTTTTGTTGAAATCAAACAAAGTCTAATTTTGGACCCCGATTTGGACCAACTTGAAAACTGGGCCCATAATCAAAAATCTAAATACATGTTTAGATTCAGCATATCAAAGAACCCTAAGAATTCAATTTTTGTTAAAATCAAACTAAGTTTAATTTTGGACCCTTTGGACCTTAATGTAGACCAATTTGAAAATGGAACCAAAAATTAAGAATCTAAATACACGGTTAGATTCGGCATATCAAAGAACCCCAATAATTCAATTTTTGATGAAATCAAACAAAGTTAAATTTTGGACCCTTTGGACCTCAATGTGGACCAATTTATAAACGGGGCCCAAAATCCAAAAACTAAATACACGGTTAGATTCAGCATATTATAGAACCCCAAGAATTCAAGAATAAAACCCCATTGAAATTGGTCAAGAAATAAGCAATTATACGAAGTTCTTTTGCACAATACTGTGCAATTAAATATTTCTTGCTATTGCGCAATACTGTACAATTGACAATTTCTTGCTATTGCGCAATATTGTGCTATTGAATATTTCTTGCTATTGCGCAATACTGTGCAATTGAAAATTTCTTGCTATTGCGCAATACTGTGCAATTGAAGATTTCTTGCTATTGTGCAATACTGTGCAATTAAAAATTTCTTGCTATTGCACAATACTTACTATATAATAATTTACACATCCTGTTTGGTGTGTATCTCCTACCATATTATTATTATTTGCTTTTAAATATAAATCAGAAATAACCAACTTTAAAGGAAAATTTTAAAAGAAAAAAAAAAGGAAAAAAAAAAACCCCCCCCCCCCCCAAATTTTTTGAACCCCCTTATAATTCATCACCCCCAAACTCAATCCCAGCCTTCCCTTTGTGGTATGGTACCTTGCAGTACAATTTCAGAGAGATCCATACACTTGAACACAAGTTATTGTCTGGAATTTAGAAAAATGTGTTTTTTGGGCCCTTTTTGGCCCCAAATTCCTAAACATTTAGGGCAATTACCCCCAAACTCAAACCCAGCTTTCCCTTTGTGATATGGAACCTTGTAGTACAATTTCAGAAAGATCCATACACTTACACACAAGTTATTGTCCTGAAACTAGAAAAATGCTTATTTTTGGCCCCTTTTTGGCCCCCAATTCCTAAATGTTTCGGCAATTACCCCCAAACTCAATTCCAGCTTTCCTTTTGTGATATTGAACCTTGTAGTACAATTTCAGAAAGATCCATATACTTACACACAAGTTATTGTCATGAAACTAGAAAAATGCTTGTTTTTTGCCCCTTTTTTGGCCCCTAATTCCTAAAATGTTGAGGCAATTACCCCCAAAATCAATCCCAGCATTCCTTTTGTGATATGGAACCTTGTGGTACAATGTCAGAGAGATCCATACACTAACACACAAGT